ATGTCAACATAACCTAAAAAAACCATATGAAATAACAATAACATAACGATATATCACCTGGTATAAAACAGATGGTTAAATAGTGACATGGATTTGAAATTGTTGGAGATATTGAAAAGGTCCCTCTAATCCGCCGGGCCATCTCTGTCGGAATGATCCCACGAAAACTAGCGCTAGGAGCTCCCTACGATAATCATCCCTCGGGAGATTACCACCGTTATATCTACGGAAGCTAATCGTCCAACAAAATTCGCGGATTAACGTGAGAAGATTAAATTTGAATTTGAAACGTAAGTGAACTGTAAGCTTTAGTTTGAGGGGAATAATAATGTCGTAATCTTACTATGAACTCTGCACAACTTATCTACGAACGAGCGTCTATCCTCGATACCTTTCGTGCCCCAATTGCCAGTTCCGTGTTTTGCTTTGTATTGGTGTTAATATTGCTACTAATGTACCGTGCGATATAGTAATTTGCTTCATTAAATTAACTTTCGAGTTTGAGAGAAAAGACATAATTTCCGTTTTATATTTTTTGAAAACAATTTTTGATAAAGGCAATTCTATTAGCTTTCTGGAACTTGTATTTCGTTTCTTTCCATGTTGTGTAAACTAACCAAAACAGAAAAACCTTTTGGCAATTTTTAATAGACAATAAATGTATTAACCAGTGCTGTGCTGACAAAAATAATATTAAGTATCAACTGATTACACAGGACAACCGCGATTTTGATTTTTGAAAGCTGTTTGCTTATTTGTACATTTTTGGGGAACCTTTTTCCAAAAAACGCCACATTTTTGCTCTCTCACGTCACTTTTTTATAACGCTCTATATCTTAAAATGTTATTTTATATTTGTCCCATGCTAGGAATGATTTTTAAATGAATTGATTTTTATGAAATTAAATTATATTTGGCAGCACTGTACATTACACACTATTACATTTCTCTCTCTCTCTCTCTCTCTCTCTCTCTCTCTCTCTCTCTCTCTCTCTCTCTCTCTCTCTCTCTCTCTCTCTCTCTCTCTCTCTCTCAATACAGCATTGTAACCTGCTTATGCGCAGTTTGGTTTGTATTGGTCGTCGTGGTACTGTGTTTAACAGTTGTTGTCTTCGTTGTTTCGTATTTCTAGTATTCTAGAACGGATAAATATAAGCCATTGTGTGAACATTCCAAATACATTTTGTAGGTAATAATGAAGTAGTAAAGCAAAGGCAAACTATAACTTCTTTGTATACCACGCTTATTTTGGTTAGTTGGTAGTTAATTGGCGACCAAGACGGTTGAAGCATTAAGAAACTGACAAAAAGATAGGAAGAAATGCTTTGGTGTTGCTATGGTAGGGCGAGAGAGTAGGAATCATAGTGATAATTGTTATTTTTGTTAGTGTAATGTTCAAGGATTTCACAGAAAAAATAATAAATAAAACACAAAACAAAAAACTTGACTCTGCTATTCACCCAGTTCCTCATGGAGCAGATGTACCGATACCTTCCGAGAGAAAATCATAATTCCGACTCAGATGAGTTAGATTTCAATGGCACTGGCCTCCGTACGATGAAAATTTAGGACTTCTTTTGAAGAAAATAAACTACCAAGAATATCAGTGGATGCTTTGTGGGGGCCTAAAAGTGCTCTACATGCTCCTAGGACAACAGGAAGATTATACAAAATTTCCATGCTTTATTTATGAGTGGGATAGTATTTCAAATATTTGTGCCAGAAATTTCCGACCATATATAATTATATCGAGAAAAACGCCTGAGTTTCATTTAAAGAAATAATTGACAAGTTTCTTGGGAACTCTAAGGACGAAAACTACGAAAGCATTGTTCAAAATATGTTACAACACTTTCATAATCTAGGTTGTAATATGAGTTTGAAAGTGCATTTCCTGTTTTCACACATAAATTATTTTCCTGAAAATCTTAAAGCAGTTAGCGAAGAACAGGGAGAGGGTTTGCAGCCGAATGTCTGGACAACGCAGCCTTCTGACAAAAAGAGGAGGATTTCACTCCAAAAGTCCGAGTAAAGAGTAAAGTTTTTTTTTTCACTTCTTTTAACTACGATTCCACTGTTTTACTAAATCAAAAATAAATTATTTTAGAAATATCATTTCTTTCCTTTAAATTTTGCAAAAAAAACCTTACTTAATTTTTGAAGTTAGTCTATCTAAATTATATAAAATCAGTGTTCAAAATTTAAATATTTGTCAAAACGTTTAATTTTGTTGAACTGTGTTATCAGTGGTTATTGAAAAACCCATACTTATTTGAAAATTTCTATTTCAATTTAAATTTTATTAAAAATAATATCCCACATCCAAACCCTAATAAATAAGAGGAAATCCTCTAAGCAATTCTGCCGTTATTTTTCAGAATCATCGTCATTGTGTGGCAGGCCGTGTTGGTCGATTAGAATTTAAAACGGGCTAACCAGAATCGTCATTAATTAACGTACCATTTAATTAGTTCGGATCTCCTACCGACTTTGTTGATTTAATTTGGCCCGTTAACCGAAACACGACGTTAATTACATCCCTGACAGACAATGGTCAACTGCAGTGTATTGCATATCGTACATGCCACTCATCTGACAACAATTCATTCTCCTTAAATCGTGTGCGTCGTTTTGTTAGCTGACTCCTATATTTAGGTGCAGATTTATTAAATCGGTTGCTGTTTATTGCCGATTTTGCAATTCAATGAGACCTGTCGCGGAAAAACATTAAGCATTGTTTTCATATGAATTTCGCGTTTGCATTGTATGGTCCACGTTGATATTGCTCAAAAATAGTTCATTGATACCGTTGGCAGTGCATTCATGGCATTCATCAGTATTAAAGGAAAGATTAACGGTTTCAAATTCAAGCGCAACACGTATTGATTGGTTGACTGTTGGTGGATGTCACTTAAAAAACGTTAAATAACTAACAACCCAATAACAGCTTTTGAAAAAAGGGTCTCGAAAGCGACATTTTCCCAGCAAATATTAGGCCAAAAACTTTTTATTTGTCACTAGCGGAGCGATTTTTTTGGTTACATTTTCGCACACGAAGACATTCCCTGACATGACCGTCAGAATTGACAAACGTCAAAATTCAAAGCGTGGGAAATATTTCCGAAAACATCCGATTGCTCGCAAATCCGTGAGGTAAAATCCCGGAAATGTCCGAAGTGGCTCGAATTGATGGGAAATGAAAGTGACGTGTTAAAGTGACGCACGAATTTTTGTAGAAAAAAAAATTACATTTTTTGATACATTTCTGATAATCTGAACTGGAACTTGTAAATAAGAGCTTCCAAATGTTGCTTTTAAAAGAACCAAATTGTTTTTACCGACAAGCCATGGAAAAAAAACACTATACGTCTCTTTTGGCAAAATAGTGATAAAAAAAATTGAAAACTATCAAGGACAAACGGATTAAAAAATTTTGAAAAATTGTTGAAAGGTCTTCTAGAATCGTCATAAAGCATGGAAGTTGCCGCTGGGAGAACAGTGGATTTAACCGGTATTCCAAGGTAAACTTTGCGTTTATTCTTTAGTGATTCACTAGAAAAAAAGGAACGATGTTACAATAAAGGCATAATGAAAGTGTTTAGGACTGGTGATGAAGATTAGAGTCGCAGGGAAGTGTTGTGTGTGAAGTATGAGGAGTGATCATTACTTGAATCATTGCAATAGAAATTAAAACAAAAATAGCACGTTATCTAAAAAATAACCATGATTAGCAGCAAAAATTAATTCCTGCAAGAGTTTCTTAGTACACGTGACCTTTATTCTGACGATACTTATAAAAAAACAACTACATTAAGTTTAAAGAACCAAGTCGTATGAAAAAATGCGGTAATATGCTTCTTAGATTACCACCTTATCACCGCGATGTGAATCCTAGGGAAATAATATGGGCCGAATTACAAAACAAAGTTAGACGCAATAATATAAACGGAAAAATGTCCTCCCATATACTACTTATAACTCAGTGCGAATTAATACTAGACAGCAGTTGAAGAGAATGCATTAATCATGTACTTGAAATGAAAATTAATTTTAAACAAACATATATTAATTATATTGGATGATAGTGATGGCAACGATTAAAACTATTTTGATGACTAAATTTTATTAAATATGCATTTATTATTTATATACTTGCAATAATACAGTACGCCATAGAACATATATTTATACATTTTTTGTTTCAATTGTCTTACTACTACTCTAGACCGGGTTGATTTATTGGCCCAAAAATGTCTCCAAGTAGATAAAAACGTCATGACCATTTATTGCGTGTTGGACTATATACTACCGGTCTTATGATAATGCTTTATTGTTAGGAAGGATGACATGTTTAGATTTCCGGTACAACTTGGCAACATGTTGAATTTTCTTGTTGATGACGTGTACAAGGGCTGCTCGATATTGTGCAATGTGTGAAACAAACGATGCTATAAATACCGATAGAAAATAATTTTTAACGTTATCGGTTATGACCATTTATTGTGTGTTGGACTATACTAATGGTCTTATAATAATGCTTTATTGTTAAGAAGGGTGAGATGTTCAGTTTTCCGGCACAACTTGGCAACAGTGGTTAGTTAGTTAGTCGACATTGTGCAATGTGTGAAACAAACGATGCGATAAATATCGAAGAAAAATAATTAAATAACCTCCAAAAATCTTCTGACTAAAATTGGGTAAAGCTTGTCCATTTACCTTGTGACGTCGAATCATTTTTCATGTCGTAAGCGGTTTATGGCATAAAAAGTTCTCTGCTACTTCTGTTGGCCAAGACTCCTAGGATCATTCGGCCCAGATGTAAGGTTATATTTCGAAAACTTCTTCTGTAGGTAAATGCAGGCAGAATACAAAACTTTTCTTAGGTGCTTTGGCAAATTTTAAAATATGATTTTTTTAAGTGATTTAAGGCAAAATGTAAATAAATAAAATCAGCTGGAATTAATCGCAGCTTCTTTTTATTTAATGAGACCTCTGTTAATTGTGACATTTATTAAGCAAATAAAGGAAAAGGAATCGTTTTAGTGAAATAAGTAAGTCGATATCAATGTAAAGGTTTTTAATTAATCTTGCGTCCTTTATCTCGTTTGTCGTCGATTCTCTTAAACAGCACAGCGGTTTCCGACGTCAAGTTTTTTTCGTCGGAATGCCCGCGAGTCCAAGACGGCTCTAACACGTCATCGAAGCGCCTTCGGTTGACGGGCACGCTTAATTTGTCCAATAGCCGTCCGGATAAAACGGGAATCAACGGCTGGATCAAAGTGGCCGTGACTCTCAATGTTTCCATCGTTAAATGGAGCACCGCGTTCAGCTCGTTCGCTCGCCAGGCCTCCTTTTTTAATTCCCACGGTTTTAGCGTTTCGAAAAACAAATTGGCCGCGTGCAACGTCGCAATCACGGCGTCGGCCGCCTTGTAGAAATTGTGATCGGAGTAATGCCTTTCGCATACACCTGAAATACGTTACGTTACGTTTTAGATTTGAAATGGTATAATCTTTATTACACCGCGTACAGGGGAGGGTGGGGCAAAACTTTTAATTATTTTTTGTGGCTTTTAACCATCAAGTGGACTTATTTTTGACTGACTAACTAAATTTACCCAAATTTTGGCGAAGCTTCTAAATAAAATTCTTTTTTGCGCAAGATGACCCGAAAAATTATGAAAAAAAATTTTTTCCATTACAAAAAAGTTTTTCGTATTCTAAATATCCATAATTTCCTCTTTGACGACTATTTATTATACTGCTCAAAAACACCTATTTTTAACATGATACGAGTCTCTTTTTACAAATATAAATTTCAATTTAATATTGCCACCAAAAAGTGCCTTACCGATATCCGGTAAAAATAAATGAGTGGCGCGGTAATCCAAGCTTCCAAAAGAAAACTAGACGTAAACTATATGAGCTATTTTACTACGGTTCTTGGATTTTTTTTTATTATTTGTTCATTTGGTGCACATGTCACGTTAAATGAAGACAAGTCTAGTGAAGAAGTTTAGGTTCAAAATAAATTTTAATACCCAAACCTTGGCAATACATTAAAATTCGACAACTCAAGAAAGTTCTTTCTGCATGCAGTTTGCAAAACAGGGAAATATCTGAATTACCCATAAGTAGTATATCTAAGAGGGTTCCGGATCAACAGGTGCTATGCCGAACTCTAAGGCTATCGAAGAAGTAAAAAAGAAGGTGATATGATAAGATTGGAACTAGAACTCTCAATTTTTTCTTTATATATATATATATATATATATATATATATATATATATATATATATATATATATATATATATATATATATATATATATATATATAATAGGCGGCAAAGTGTATGAATAACAGACTTTTCCAAAACAGAAAAAAATAACTAATACACCGGAACGACGTTTAATTTAAGTTTTGTTTTATATGTTTTATTATTCTTTTTTCTTTCTACACACCTATTGTATATCTTCAGATTTTTCCATAAAAATGTTTTTCTATTCTGGAGACTGAAATGAACTCGTTCAATTACTAATTCATATTACTACTATAATAAGTACACTATAACTGTTATTGTATACTATTTTGTGTACTCTAATCAAATTTGTGTATAATATCAAACTATAGTGACTTCCCAATATTTTGTGATTTGTTGTGTGACGATCTAAATGGTTCATAAGTGCTATTCTATTCTATTAAATCTGATCAAACATTTTTCTGTTTTTTTTTTTATTCATCTCCCCCATCATGATATTTGTATATAATATAAAAAATTAGTTACTTCCCAACTACGATTCTTATGAAACGTCCCTAGATGGTTAGTTACATTCTATTAAATGTGGACAAACATCGGTCTGCTTTTTTGCTCTTTCCAAATCCTACACTTTTTCGACTTAAATTTATTAAAATATCATATGATACTTTATCCTCACCCGGCAATTCAGTGACGTGGTCAATCAGTCGGCGGGTCACGTCGTTTTCAAGAACTTTTTCGAACCATCGCTGATTAAACATCGGGAATGCCTGCGACGGGTTTAAATTTGTTCCGCAACAGCGGCTTAACAAGTTGCCCAGCGTGTCCGCTAACTCCGAGTTTAATATGTTGACCACTTTTATGTCGCTGTAATCTAAGAAACTTAAAGTAAACTTGTGTGTCGGAATTAATAATAGTCAATGACGTTATACGAAAATGAAACGGGGCGGGAGGTAATGGTTTGTGCTGCCAATATAAGTATATGCATTCTAAAGGGTAGTAAAATCTATTAAATTTATTAGTTAATAATGAACTACAGACGACCTTAGGGGTCTGCAAATATTGCGACTGAATTAGAAGTCAACGAAAAAGCGGAATTTTTCAACATAATCGCGCCTTATCATCTTGAGTAAGTGTGCTTTCCGTTTGCGTTCATGAGTGGCCAAATTTGGAAACCATAAACAGATTCTCTGACACGGAATATCAAAAAGTAAGGTGACATTTGTAATTGGAAGGGCTACGTACATTCGATCTTCGATATTTTTTTTTGTTATGTTAATTTTTTAAAAATGCTTAATTACAATTAAATGGGGGGGGGTAGAGGGGGGCTTTATAGTCTCTGCGGATAGACCATCTTTCATAAAAATTTCACCATTCTCGGAGCAACGTAGGTATTTTAAAAAATTAAAAATGTAGTGCTTATGAAAATTTTGGATCGAGGTCGATATTAACCGATCCGGCTGAATTTTTGCACGAAGATAGAGGGTCGGGGAGGGGGGGTGTTATTAAAAAAAGCTGTTTTATATTTCGGTTATTTACAATTTTAAAAATTTAAAACCTATAAGTAATATACTTTAGTATTTTCTCTAGTTAATGATACCAAAAAGTTTTACACAAGTTGTATGTTTTGTTATCGGAAACAGTTTTTATCGGAGCAATTTAAAAAATATATATATTAATTATTGTTTACAATTAAATGGTGGGAGCTGGGGAGGACTTTACAATTTCTATGGATAGACCACATTGACCTTCATCTTCAGAAAACCATTCAGCTTTTCGAAGCAACCTAGGTATTTTAAAAAAATGAAAATGAGAATTTTTGAGGAACATCATGATATCCATGAAAATTATAAATTGAGAATATTAACTAATGATGGAGGGTGCTGCAGGTGGATTTTATAGTATTTGCGAATAGACCTCGTTGATTTCTAACTTCGATAAAAATCTCAATCTGCTCGAAAAAATGTAAATATTTAAAAAAATTAAAAATCTAAAAGAAAAATATGATAAACATAAAAATAATTAATCGAAAATATTAACCGAAAATGTAGGGCTGGGGGAGACATTATAGTATCTATGGATAGACCTCATTGATGTCCATCTTCGATAAAAACTTCAACCTTCTTGGGTCAATATCGGCTTAAAAATCAATGATCAATTTTGAACGTTTTATATCTTATTTATTTATAATTTTGAAAAATTGAAATTCTAACGATACCAAAAAGATTCCGACAAGTTACACCGTTTGCCGTCGGGAACGGTTTATGTGTGAGGCTGCAAACAGATTCCAGTCAAAATCGGCTCTTCTGACATATATCTTATCTAAATCAGCATCAAAACAGCAGATATCAGCTTAAACTATCATTTTTTGATCCAAACAGTTACCTTTTCGTGTCAATATATTTCAAATACCAGTCAAAATCACAGAGACAGAAGCGTTAGACGTGTTTTGTGTGCTCAGCGATTTTCTGCTGTCAAAAAAAAATAGAACAAGGAATTTGCATAGATTTTTGCGTAAAAAATGGAATACAGGACTGCAAAACCCTTGAAATGTTGACAAAATGGCGCGTGCCATACAATTTTTTCAGAAGTTTTGGGCATGCAAAATTTATTCCGAAACTACTTAACCTTGAACAAAATGACCGTGGAAGGAGAATCGCTCAACACCTGTCAAACGACGTCAATGATGATCCTAATATGCTTAAAAAGGGCATAACTGGTAACGAATCATGGGCATATGACGTCAAAACCAAAGCCCAGTCGTCCCAGTGGAAGAACCCAGAATCGCCAAGACCGAAAAGAGCACATGTTCGATCAAATGTCAAGGTTGTTTTTATTGTTTTCTTTGATTATCGTGGCGTAGTACATGAAGAGTTCTTGCCACAAGGTCGTACGTTCAATAAAGAGTATTACCTTGAAGTTGTGCGCCATTTACGAGAAAACAATTCATGTATTTCGCATCACCATAATGCCCTGCTCACTCATCCTTGTTTGTGTCTAATTTTTTTGCCAAAAACAAAACCACAGTTATGCCTCAACCACCATATTCACCGGATACGGCGCCGTGCGACTTTTTCCTGTACCCACAACTCAAGAAGCCCAGGAAGGGAAGGAATTTTTTGACTATTGAGAAGATAAAGAAAAAATCGCTCGAAAAACTCAAGGCTATACCAGAAGTGCTTCAAGGATTGGAAAAAACGTTGGCACAAGTATCTTTGGGGGGGGGGTGAAATTTTAAAGGGTAAGACATTAATTTTGATGAATAAATAAATACTTTTTGATACAAATTAAAAGTCACCTTTATATATTTTACTACCACAACTCTGATGAGCATTTGCATTTTGGTTTGATGGAATCATAGCTTTCACTCACATTAATGTTTTTGATGAGGATAAGTTGCGGTTTGGCATTAATAAAGGTCAATGAAATAAACAAACCAGACTTTTCCGCTCCATCATGTAGAAAATATTCAGTAGACAAAAAAATTGGGAGGAGAGTGAATTTCAATGCACAATTTAGTCAATTGTTAAGCATTTTATCAATAACTGAATCAGATCATATCAAATCGAATAAATTATTGCGATACACAATAACAAACACTTTAATTGACTTACTGCTGTCGTTCGAACTGACCCCTTCCCTCAGCAAAAAATACCGCAACCCATCCGAAGTGTAGACCTCGGAACGCTGAAACGGATCGACTACGTTACCCTTCGATTTAGACATTTTTTCTCCGTCCACTGTCCAATGGGAGTGGCACAATATCGAACGGGGTGGTTCCAAGCCTGCCGCGATAAGAAACGCTGGCCAATACACCCCATGAAATCTAAAAGAGAGTGTCGAAGTTAGCGGGTAACTTAAACGTCACGTAGTGGGCATACTTCAAGATGTCTTTGCCGATCACTTGAAGATCCGGCGGCCAAACCTGATTGAATTCGGCCTCAGGTGTCCGGAAATACCCAGCGACGGTGAGGTAGTTCACCAAAGCGTCCAACCATACATAAACGGTTTGACTTTCGTCGTTGGGTACGGGAATGCCCCAATGGACTCTCGACGATGGTCGCGAAACGGAGACATCGACCAACGCGTTATCGTTTCTTATTAGTTCTTCAAGAATTTTACGATATTTTCGAGGTTTTACGGCATTCTCTGAAGACAAGTGTGAACGTACAGTATGGTACATACGGTGGGATTATTGGTATGGTCTGTTCATAGATATAAGAAAGTGACCAATTGTTTTTGAATGGGATTATCCAAGGGTGGTCATTAACAGACAATGCAACAAGAGTATTACCTAATGTTTCGGAATTTAAATTCAGGTAAAATTGTGGTCCGGGATAGAAAATAATTTTATACCTACCTGCGTTTAATACTATTTGGTTTGGTATACTACTTAGTTTAAGTTTATTAGTAATCATTCTTATTTCGTGTGTTATACAGCGTCTGTTGAATCGTGTGCGAGTCTAGTGTATCTCAGGAAATGCTCCCACCCAAATGTAGAAAACACTATTCTATTGAGACTAAGGAAGTTATAAACAATGTTTATTTGATTGAACGTGGTGCCAGAAAGCAAGCATCTTTAGAAGAAACGGCCACATTGACAAAAATTCCAACATTAACTGTATGGAAAATTGTGAATTATCCCATTTCAGCGAGGAAAAAATGAAGCGATGCTGACATTTTCTCGAGATTAGATGAAAGTGATCAAAACATAATACGGCGTAAAATTTACCAGTTATAGTAGGAACAAAGCATGCCTACATTAGATATCTTAATTAGGAGGCTTGAAAACGCTGAAACCGGTGTTAAATGTCGCAGAACTACCTTATGGAAGTGTATTCAACACATGGGTTTTACATTTAAAAAAATTGACAAAAGGCAAGTTTTAATGGAATCTTTTAGAATTCAGAAATGGCGACTGGAATATCTAGACAAAATTAGGATTTACAGAGAAAAACAAAGGCTAATTATTTACTTGGGTGAAACCTGGTTCGACACTTATGATACCCCGAAAAAGGGTTGGGTCAACTCAACTATTTTGCATACTCTAAAGATGGTTGGATTCCAAATGGACTTTCTCTGCCTGCGAAAAATATTAAAGATCCATAAACATTCCCCCTAATAGCGTCATAGTAAGTACAACAGGCGATGATGGCGATAGTGATAGTGATATATTAAGTGAATAATTTTAAGTAATTTAAGTAGGTAATAAAAATAATTTGTAATTTTAGTTTAGATTTAAAAATACATGCATAAATAAATAAATATTGTTTAGTATCTTTCCTAACAAAACCCCAAATAATTAAATTCTAAGCAAAGTACGGACCTGTTCGGCCATATTTCATTCTTACAGCTTGCCCGAGCCTTTCCTTAATTCATATCAGTTAGTCACTTTCTTATATCTATGAAAAGATTTTACCACATAGATAACATAGTCGTCATCATGAGGCTATGGCATTTTTAAAGTGAAGTTAACTCTTTTTTTTTCTAAAATTGAATAGGTTCTGGCCACATTTGGTCAAAATACTGCAGAAACAAACAACTGTCACTCGTCATGTTGATTGTTGAATATCGCAAGGTTTTACTGGAAGAAAAAGACATTTAAAATAACAGGGCTTTGGTTTCAAAACTACCTCTTCTATCGGCATAAGCATTCACGATTTGTCCATACCGAAGGGGATTTCTGGGACAATTTTGGAAAAAATTGAAATAAACGTTTATACAGACTGGCCTTTTTGTTATGAGATTACACTTTCCCTCAGAATCTGATAAGAATGTCAAAAAAATATAAACACAAAACTTGTGCGGATTTACTAATTTTTTTTTCTAATCCCATCTGTAAAATGCCTAATTACACACCGATCTAGCGTGCGGAAAGCATCACTTTATCCCGTCAGTTTCGTTTCCCACGCGTCCGAGCCACTTCGGACATTTGCGAGATTTTTCCGCACGGGTTTAGGAGCAATCGGATGTTTTCGGAGATGTTTCCCACGCCTTGAATTTTAACGTTTCTGAATTCTGATGGTCATGTCAGTGGAATGTATTCGTGTTGTTTTGCGAAAATGTACACAAAAACTAACGGTTGTAGAAAAAGTATAGTATGCAACGCGTTCGGTAAACTTTTTAAATCACTCATTAAACACTCGCTCCGCCGCGCTCCGCTCGTGTCAAATAAACTCGTAAGTCAAATGCCATTTACCGCACTTGTTGCATAATATACTATTAACATATTATATTGGTATATACAGGGTATTTCCGTGATGCGTTCTTTATTTAAATGAAACACCCCGTATATTAAGGGACTTTTGAATTTCACAGAACTTTCTACACATTTTGCGTGTGACGGTAAACACATTGAAAAAGAAAATCGAGAACTAAGGAAATGGTACTATTTTGGTTTGCTTTAGGTATAGACATCCATGTTTGACAATTTCATGCCACATATCTTAGTCATTTTGATGGTTATTTTAATATTTAATGATTTTTAAAAAATATCTTTAGTCTACAAAACGTTTTTCTAAAAAGAAAATACCTAAATAATTTTGACGATAATAATAATAAATATTCAAATTAAAAACACATTAGATAGGATTAGTGTTGGGACTGTTCAATTGACCACTTTTTAATTGACTAGTCAAAAAAGGTTTTGTAGAGGTTATCTATCATTATTTAATAATAATATGTATTTGATGGAATACTCGAATACGATACTTAGAGCGATTCGGGAAATCCCAATAATAATATCGACATTATAAAAATAAATATAACTTTTATGGTATTTAAAAGAATATTTCTGTCAATGGACGCCAAAAAGTTTGACCGGTCAATTCCACAATCCTAGATAGGCATTACTGGCAACATTAATATATATATATATATATATATATATATATATATATATATATATATATATATATATATATATATATATATATATATATATATATATATATATATATATATATATATATATATATATATATATGAGAACGACATTTATTATAAAAACTTTAATAATTCTCATCAAATTTCTAAATGATTTTGATAAAATTCATTCCATCTAATAAGACATATAAAACATTTATAATATATATAAAAAATTCTCACAGTAAATAGATATATAACCGTTTGGCACACACACTTTTTAAAAAAAAAATTTTTCATATTCCCGAAATGAACAAAAATATATAGCACATCATATAGGCAACATATTGCCAGTAAAAGTTATCAATTTTTTTTTATTGCGTTCATGATAATAGACCTATCCTAAAGAAAGCGAAAAATTAAAAAATGTCCTTAGTTTCGTGAAATTTTAAAAATATTTCCAAAATTATTACCAATCACTTTTAAAGTGAAACCCGAAAACTCACTTTGCTGGCCTGCTTAGGAATTGTTCCAAGTTTTTCAGTGTTGAATGACGACCGAAACACAATACCCCGAACGAAATTCTAAAACAGTGCGCTAAATTACATTAAAAAGAAAATACAGAGAAGTGCGGTTCGCTCGACTATCCTTTTGACACAAATTAGGGCGAATTATTACACGTCCGTGGGGGATTTTCATTCGCCGCTCGCTGTCTCGCAGCAGGCCGACACCACTCCAAACAAAGGCGGCTTCCGCCTGCTTGATAATCCGTAAAGGTTTGCTCTCGACTTTACCGTTTTTATTGTTACAAGAAAAACTTGGGGGGGAAAGTGCCTCGGCAAACTGACAGTCGGATGACATCAAAACACTCTTCTTAAAAGCTATACGTGCTTTTAATACCGAACGAGGGTAAATGGGGCGGGAATTGGGCAAAAACTTTTTGTCTGACACTGTTGCCGATTGACTTTGAAGGGATATGTACCTGAAGAATAACGCTTCATGCAAATGTAGTCGTAACCATGTAAAGACTTGACAATAGAAAAAATGGCAGATAATTACTCGATATAGGCCTTTTGGGCGATTTTACGCTATTTCATAAACGTGTAGTGTAATACAGTCGGAAATTCTGGGAGATATTTAAACTATGTACAAACAAACGTAACAAAAAATCTTATGAACCTTGCGCTAGCAGCTCTGTAGCAAAATGTTATAACCACACCGCCACACAATGCACAGATTATTACAGACTTTTTAATTTTTAAAAACGAAATTTCCCAACAGGCGGATACGCTCGCCAGATTCCCAGACATAACGCCCCTTAATTTTTTTGTACGGGATCATCTCAAAAATCAAGCATATAGTAGGTCCTATGGAAACGTTGGATGCGTGTGCGTGGTTTACTTTTTTCTTATTTTTTTTCTGATTTTTTGAATTATGGATTTTGAAATTGTAGACGAAATGCAATATGGCGGCCGACGAAACGCAACATAGTAGGCCTAAAATTTTTAACGCCGTTTTTAGCATCGCCGTATCGTTTTACCCATCTCCTGAAATTTTGAACATTTCAGCGCCTATAATAAGGAAAATATTGTGGTATTTCAAAAATGTATCTTGTATCTTCCATTTAAGCAATGCTCTATCTCTTTCAATTTCCAATATCCTGATGACATCATTATTGGACAATTAATTTATATAAATTCTCAAGCCACTTTTCATAAATTCAGACAAATTTATGTTATGTGGTAGTTATATCCAATAAAATGTTTTATACACCCAGTAACAAGGCAATCCACATTTACTTAAGAAATTTAAAAGAATGCGAGAGATTTCAATGCGAAATCAAACATCAGGCGCAAATAAGCACCGCAACCTGTTCTGCAGAAACTCAGTTTTACGGAAATTCATACCCACGGTACTTCCTGTACTCAATAAAAAGAATTATGCAATTATATCAATGCCAAACAACGAATGTTGCTTAGCATTTGTTGTGTCACTCTAAAATCTCTTTGCATACCCAGTAAGGTTTTATTACTGTATCTTTAGTGATTTTACCCATTGGGCTTCTCATATTCGTGGATTCACATAAAAATTACAGGAAGGCGGTTAGAACTTTAAAAATAAGGAGTCTGAACCTTCTCTTCCATAAAAGTTACTTGCGATTTAATATATGTATTTCGTAAATATTCGAAATGAACACGAAAATATTATTTTTGTTTTGACTTCTTTTTAGTCAGTACCCTTTTATGTTTTCGTTCAGCGTTAGAAGCGAACTATATACGGGTCAAGGCCAGTGGCACCCTGTTAAACCGTTCTCAAAATTGAAACATGGTATTGAATATTAGCAAAGTTAGTTCAAAAGGCCAACAAGAATATTAATGCCAACTATGACATATTTCTTTTTTAAATTTGTTGTGCTCTTTTCGTATTAAAAAATACTGTTTTTCTAAATCAGCAAACTTATTAACAGTTTTTTTAGGAACCATTATTTTCATTTTTACGGGAAAAAAGGTACGAAAAAAGACATTTGTAAAATATTTTTCATACCGTTTGTTGTCAGCCAATGTTCCAATTCATTCCTGAATGAAGACAGTTTAAACATATAATTCCTCTCCTCCGTCCATTCAACAGGATGCCCGCTTTCCGCGGAGACAAACGTGGTGTCGCCATTTTTTGAAGTGCGCTTCGTCAATTGAAAATCGGATAGAAACGACTCGTCCGGCACGCAATACCATCCTTCGTATTTGGATTCGTATAAAACGCCGTTTTGCTGAAGACGGTCCTGAAAAAGTCGAAAATTAATCACACATTGTAACAGAATCGAGAACGAATGAAAAGGTTTTAAAACGACACGAAAATTATTTCAATCGTTTATTTTTCCGTGAACTAACTGGTCGTGTGTGAGAGATATTAGTTGCTAAATCAGGACTATATGGCGGATGGCTCATCAAATCAACGTTTTTAATGCTCAAATAGTTCTTTGTTTGCACTGATCGGTGCGAGCTAGCATTATAGTTGTAGAGAGTGATTCGTCTTCGGCGGTTGGGATTTCTAATTTTTTCGAAGACTTTTTGTTTTAACTCCAACAGTCGAATTAAGTTCATCGATGCATTGTTGAGTTAGTCCACGTCCAATTTTGTAGAAAATTTTTATATTAAGTTCCATTTTTAACAGTCACATTTTTTTTATTTTATCACAAAAAACACAAACAACACTCTTTCGCCGTAACCTAACTGAGTAAACCTAACCTGAAAATGTCAAACTTCCCTATAAAAACGTTTGTCGCCAGATGGTAGCACTAGTTTAAGAAAATCTCGAAATATAAAAGTCAGCCCTCGCAATAGCAACGTAAGATTCAATATTATACACGGTGTGCCATGTAAAATATGAAAGACCAAAAGAACCGAGAAAGTTGGATCATCGAAAATATATGGATAGATAGATTGTATTGCGTAAAATTCCTTTCAATTTAGTTGTCACCAAATTTTAAAAAGAAAATATAGGTTAACTCGACATAAATAGGAAAAATGCGTGTGTATTTTAAGTTTTTTTTTTAAATAATGCTTAGAAACATTCAAATATTCCTTAAAGAAGTTACCCCTATTGTACATTTCATTTTATACAAACATTTCAATTTCTCTATTATCCCCATTACTAGTCATCACTTTATATTGTAAAATTTGCCTCACGTGTATATCAACTCATTGCCATTAAGGTAATCTAACTAACCAAAATTATGATGTATACGATGAGAAATCATAGATATTAATAAATGTTAGCCCATATTATATTCTTATCCAATAATATAATATCAATTCGTTTTAATGCCCAGATCCTAACAAATTTTCATGGAGAAAATTACTTTTATGAAAAAAAAAACAACAAGCAGGTTAGTGTGTAAAATTTAGCAGCACAAAAAGAGAAAAAATAGGCTCATTGCTTGTTGTAATAACAAAAACAAAAAGATATTTAAAAAATAAAAGAGAATATTTGAAAATCGTTTAAAATCTATATAAAAAAAAGTATTTGCGGAGAAAAATAGCCTAACAAGACGCAACAGGAAAGTTGCATATAAGAAGAAAAAAACATGTTCAAACCCAGAATTTTTCGACTGTCCGTTTATGCGTATCGCACGTGGTTCTAATAAAATCCGTATATTGGATATTAAATTTATCGGCCAGCACTTTATACCGGTCGGAGACCCCAGAACAATAAGCCGGCAACGAGGAGTTATTGAGTTCGGCCGCTTGTTGGATTTTCGTCCCGTGTTCATCTGTTCCCGTGGCAAACTTTATTTTGGCTCCTCTGTTTCTTATTCTGTGCCATCGTTGGGCCGCGTCCGCTATCAGGGATGAGTACAAATGACCTATGTGGGGATCTGCAACGGAAACAAAGGTTGTTGTCTAGCGACGACTTGTCTGGTGATTTACAAGGACCGTTCAGTATATTTAATATCAATGGAGGCCTCTACGCAAGATGTTTTAAAGAATTGTGTACAGAAGAGCTTGGCACGCAGTGAATGAGCAATGCAAAAAGTATAGAGCAGGACCGGACTGCGGAACAAGTAATACTGGCATAAAATGTTTTTAATTAATTTAATGAAATTCAAAATATCAAAAAATTAAACACTTATAATGTTGGTGCCTCTATCTTTGCAAGCAGAATCTGCCTTCTGGATGACAAAACAACAACAAATTTTTTTTTTAAACTGGTGAAATTTGATTGCACCAAATTTCTACTGTTTAAATGCGGACATGGACCTTTGCTTTGCTGCTAAATTTGAAGTTGATATTTACAGATATTACAATTACACTTAACACATTTCTTAAATAGCACAGAATATCCCCTGTACAATATGTGAAAACCTTAAATACAAAAGTTTTCGCTGTATATGCGGGCAATATCGCAATGTAAAAGAAAGTGACATACGAATCATATTCTTTCAGTCATAGCCAATTTTCAATAATAGGGGGACCCAATTTTCACTTTTTTTGAATTTACTGCGCACCTTGTATATTTTTGAAAAATTGTCAGGAATAAAAGTTTATGAAGCCGTATCTTTTGCGTCTTCTGGTTCAAGAATGTTTTCGGCCTCGTAAACGGTTTTCGAAAAATAATCTTTTTTGTAGACCCTCGCACACGCGATTTTTATTTTTTTCTAAATACTTCCCGACCCCCTAGCCCCTCCATTTTCAATAGGTTCCGTCACGGGGCAAGCAAACTGTGCAAGTGTGTAAAATATGAAGTCAATCGACTCCATATTTCAAATTTCGGACACTTATCATGTTTCATAGCAATGTCCAAAAAAGTCGAAAATCGAGAAAAAAAGATGGATGCCGGAGTCGGATCGAGGCCATTTCTTATAAGTTTATGTGTCTCGTGAATTTTGTAGCTCCAACGGTTCGAAAGTTGTTCAAGAAAAACCAAAAGACGAGAGCGGAGAACGACCAATAGACAATTTTTTTTTTCGACGCTGATCACTTCTGTACCAACGACGATCCCATAGGACCTACCGTTACCGAGATATAAAAATATAAAAATCGAATTTTTCGAAAGTAACAAGGTCAAATATGTTCAAAACGAAAAACTATTATCGTATCATCTCCGACTATAATTTTAGTCACAAGCGAAGATTGGTACATGAGGATATGAAAAATGAAGAGTGTTTAAATTGCTTTTAAAGATCGCAGAAAACCGAATGAGCTAGTGCTAGTATGATTTTTATTTTCTTTGTTCTTAAAATGTAAATAAATATTAAGTTTTTTATGAAACAAGACGTTAACGATTTTTAAAAGTCGTCGTAGCTAGATCAGAAATGATCACTTATCTCCAATAAATAAATAAATTTAAATTTTGGTTTTCGTTTTTAATATGAGCTTTATGTTTGTATCAGTAAATGTCTAATAAAAACCAATTAAACACAATAAAACGAAGCGACAGTAAACCGAAATTAACCCTTGAATATATGAAAAATCATATTGAAATGTGGGAACAGAAAAGTTGCGTGAACGGTGCTATTATAATAAATAAAAATTGTTCCATTTCTAGATGACCTTAAAATCGGCAAGAAACAAAAAAAACTAGTTGGAATATAATATCTTGTTGAAACTTGTGCAACCCATCTATTAAAACGCGCTATACAGGGTATTCTTTAATACTTGTCTAAAATTATACAGCGTGATTTTTCAACTGCCACAGGCCACTCTAATTCTAATGATCTGGATTCTTCCTGCGTCGCTCGCATTTTACTTTATAACAGGTATAGTATTATAGAAGGTTACTTTCCGAGAATTTTTAAGGTACAAAGGGGTCTAAAATGGTTCGTTTCCAATCCACGATTTCTCTCTGTTTTTTCTGCATAATTTCTTAAATAACGCCGAATTAGGAACGGATTTCAATTTGTTCTTGCAGGGCCGCTTTTTTTCTTACTTTCAAAGATCATGACTTTTTGTACGCCTTTGTATTGAATTTTTGGTAAAAAAAGTGAATTCCGTAATCAAATTTGCATGAAAAAATTCCTCTTATTACAAGTCCCTCAGTAGCAACCGTTTTCGAAATATGTTGATTACAAGAAACCAATGCGTGTTTTTATAAAGCTGAAGCAATTTTGTAAAATAACAACGGCGTGAAAACCTAGTTTAAAATTACAATAAACGTTGGAATTTTCCACCTCCCAAAATAAAAATAAAACTGTAGAACTGTAGACCATACGTTTATGAAAAACTTGAAATATCTGACAATTAATCCCAATTTTTAGTATAAATGGCAGTTAATTATTTATTTGCCATAAAATAATAGCACAGTTAAATTATTTTTGCGCTTATGTCGTCCCGTATATTCAGAAAAAATCTAAATTAGTAAAAAGTTTTTTATTAATTATTTAATTAATAATTAATTTAAATAATCAAATTAAATCTAACAAACAATTTAAAAAGCCAATAAAGTAATAATTATGTCCCGTTGACTGAGCAAAGTTAATTTTAAAAAATTTCAATTAATTATCGATACAGAACTCTAGAAGTCGATATTATCAAACCGACCTAATCCAACGAAGAAAAATTGATACCTTTTCTATGCTTATGCCGATTAGCGACCAAAAATACGACAAAACTATCGTTCCTATTCTGTGGAAGCGGATTTATTTATTACTTACTTGCATTCACATAATAAATTGGAGTTGTGAAATAACTAATCCCTTTTTTAGAACTGTAGGGTCTTACAGAACATACCGACTTAAATTTCATCGAGAATATCGCGTATTGTGTAGGTAACATTCAAAATAATCCCAACAGAAGCATAACCTCACTCGCGTTGAACGACTTGCTGTATTTCGGCAACCTGAAGTACAACTAACCTTTATTGCCTAGTCTATGATTGGCAGAAAGGAAGAAACGGTTTAGTTCACAAATTTGAATTTACTATACGTGTTGCCAAAGCCATGTCCTTACATTTTACTATCGGAAAACACAATTGAAAGACTACCCGCGTGCTTTATTACACCAGGAACTTTTTGGTTTGAACGCAAAGTAAATAAAATTAGAAATTGTACAGTAATTTATAATTTCTGCAAATGCACATACAAAATACGGTAATAAAAAAAATGTTCACACTAATTTAACCTAAAATGTCACCTTACAGGCATATTTCATCCTAAAACTAAAACTTCAGTCTAAACCTAAATTGTTATTTCGGATAATTTAGTCTAAATTTTGAATTAATTGTCAAACGAGAAGATCATGATAGTACTATTTACACATTTTCTGGATTCTTCCTGCATCGGTTGCTGATGAATTACACTTGACCTGCCAGTTTTAGTTAAGCTGTTAGGAACAGGATGATTGGCGAAATGTCAGCAAGTTCGATTCATCATTAACCGATGCAAGAAAAATCCAGATGTATAAATAGTACTACAATACATGTCGAAGTTTCTTAAAAATGAAATACCAACTGAACTAAGACAAAATGATTAGCATTTATAAAATGAGTGGCACAGTTATTTAGTTAGTTGATTTTTTTTATGTGAAGAGGATTATTAAAATTACACCCTCAAAATTTCCAATGATTTGTTGTAACAAATGGCGATCCAATCGGGTTGCGTCGCGCCCCACTGAATCTGGTTTACTTCACCCTCAGCTGCGGTGTAAGCCAGAATAGGGTCTTCAATGGCTCTAGGCATCTGCTGAATGTCCCAAATCAGCGCTTGATGATCGTCACCCGCTGTACAAATATGACAACTCGAATGAGGAGCCCACGCTATACCATTCACACACGCCCGATGGTTATTTAGACGAGCTACTGGTGTGCATGGTACCCTCACGTCGAGAATTATAACCTCGCAGGAATCCATGGCGATAGTCGCTAAGTAATTGGGGTCCTGTTTGTTCCACGCGAGCCTGAGATGATAACACATGTAAAAGAGTACAAATTTTTGTAAAATTTATAACCTGTAATATTGTTCCCAATTTGCTTTTCTTTTTTTTTAAAGAATATCTATCAAATAGTAAATTGTCACTGACCTTAACAAGGGCGTGTGAGCCGGATCCTCATAAATTATAGTCGAATGTTCCAAATGTCTCAAGTCAAACATTCTTACTGAGCCATCGGCGCCAACAGATGCAAACATATCTCTTCCGCCACCAGCGCGGGAGAACGCAATGTCGTACACTTCTTTATCGTGTGCAATCAATTGAGTTTTTACATGACCCGAAACTAAGTTGACTCTGCCCATAACCTAAAATTTACTATTTGCAAATTACAAGCTTTGATGGTGACCTAAAGAAACCTGTCCCGTCTCTAATCCCCATATCGTACACGTCGTATCGATAGACGAAGTCCCCACTAAATTTGGATCGACCTCATTCCAATCAAAACTCGTAAGAGGAGCGCAAAAGTCTGAATTCTTATTGTTGTTAAGCACACATTCCAGTCTTGTGTCGGGCTCCCCTGCTCTCCACACTCGCAAATAGTCGCCACTAAATTAATTAATTTTTTTACGGGAGCATTTATGGGTCAATTTCTATCAATTACTAAATAACCTATAAACTAACCTTGTTGCCAATAAATCTGGAAAAATCCCTTTACTGTCTGGAATCCACATAATTTTTGTGGTAGGATACGGGTGTTCGAAAGTACTTTTGGCAGTAAATTCGCTGCTGTCTTCATCTAGGGACACAATTTGTACTTTGTTATTGTATTCTTCAACAAAACTTCCCAAGGCAAGTCGAAACCTCTTATCCGGCCTTACTGACCAATTCATACTGTAAAGAGGCCATGGGGCGACGTATTTGTATATTTCCTTTCGTTTCCCAGGGACTACGCCCGAGTGAGCCATAGTAAAGTTGTTTGAAACTCAAAATTTGATGAAATGTTTTAATTCGCAGAGCTGTACATCTACATTTTTTTATATCAAACGAATACCAACGAGCGATATCTGTTATTTGTCCAGTTTCCTCCCAGAGTCGAAATATTTTCAGCAAAACTTTCCTCGTATTTATTTTTTTGCATTTACACCTCAAATCTCAACCCGTAGTTGGAAACAAATAGTACAATTTCAATACAACCAAACATCATAGAAATATCAGTCCTTCGTCTTTGGTTAGTCAAGCGTCAGGAGGTACTAGGGATGAGGAAAAGTATAGACATATGTAATTATCAATTCGTATTTTTGTTGTGACTCGTTATCGCAATACTTAGAAATAAAAGTCGAATGTTTAAACACCAATTATGCTCAAGGAATCTGTCGTATTGGAGGCTTCCGCCACTTGTATATTTCATAATTACTTAAAGAGAAAGGGAAGGTTAGAATTGCGTTCGGTAACGTTGGGAAGTTTTGCTGAGGTAAAACTCCATAAGAAAAGAAAATGTAATAAAATATTGTTTATAAAATATAACTATGATGTTAAGGCTCCCTCAAGCACACTGTAAGTAGAGTCATAAAAGGAACCCTAAATAAATCTTAAAAATTGTAACAATTGTAATCATCACATTATTTTGGGCAAATGATTCACCTTCAAACAGTAGCACACATTTTTCAATGGTGCTAAGTATTACCGCCAAAAATAACTGCCACAGGAACTTAATAATTTTTTTACTTGAAGCTAATTCGAGTATATAAAAATTATCTTCTATACTGCCTCTCAGAAATGGTACAATATCTTTCAGACAGTTCTGACATTATTACGAATTGAAGTACATCAGTTAATACTGATTTCATCGTTTCATCTTCATTTTTCTGACCCAGATGCAGATCTTGTCAACTATTCATTTTTTTTATTCAAGTGTTTTTGAAAAATCTGTACGTTACACTTAAAGTTGTCGATCAGAAATGTTTGCGCATTATCAATATCTACAATCAATGATCGAAAATTTTGAACGATTAAAGCAGTATCGCTTGTGCATTGATGCGAGAATGTCGCGCGGAAGCATTGAGGAAAAGCGTGGAAATAGATTTTGTGAACCTACTCGTTTTCCTCGATCGAAATTTTAATCAGAGCGTAAATAATTTTGCTAAATATTCGCACCTGTTTACCCAACAGCCGATAAGAACATCTTCCTTGACAAATAAATCTCAAGGCAGGGACAACGCTTATCATTTATCACTACGTGTATAAATTACACCGGATAGGTGAGTAATTTAACTGGAGACACATTTTTTAATACAAAAATTAAACGAAATAGCATTGAAAAACATCAAATTTTGACAAAGGTTTTAACGGTTACCAGACATTATTGATATTGATAACAAGTTTGTTATCGTTGATTTCTTTATGATGCCATTCGAATATTAAGCATCACCTCCACCTCCAATAAATTTGCGCGCAAAAGGAGACTTTAAAATTTAAAACATCGTAGTTATCTAGCAAATAATGTTTGTTCTTTGTCGATAATTTCTTTTTTATTCGATATTTAATCAATTAAAAACAGTAAAACAAATACCATTCTCGAAAACTTACCATAAAATTAACAATTTGAAAAAAACGATACATTGGCATATTTTTTGATATTTTTATGTTGGTATTTAAAATTATCATAATTAAGAATTCGTATCTTGTTTAAGCTAAACCAACAAAAAGTTAAAAAAGTGGATGATTGATATTTAAAGAAAACTAATTTAAAAGAAAATCATTCTAATTTTAGTCCTAAAAACAAAATGTTTTGCGACAACAAATTTCAAATTAATAAATTATAGGTATTTCGTTTCTTTTAAGTTTGCCACATTTAAAAACGTTCAAATGTTTACTTAATTACTTAATTTTTGCAGCAGCAGAGATCTTTGGTGTATCTGTGTAAAAAATGGGGGTTTTGCAGAAGATATACCCTGTAAATGTTTTTTTTCCTTTTGTGTATGCAATATTGGCGATCGTTGAGATGCTGTTTTTGCTAATCGTGATAAGTGAAAATATACACTGGAGATTCCATAATATTCGAGGACAAAACAGCTGTTTATTGCTTTTGATGGTTTTGCCCCAAATACGACTTGACCGAGGTAGTGGAATAATTTTACTAAAAACTTATCATTTCGATGGGTGCATTTTCCCATAAAAAATAGCGTTTTTTAATTTCTATAAGGTAATTTTCTAGATTCAAATTGGTTATATTGTAACAGACTGAGGTAATTTGCCTTCGAAATCCTGAATTGCTTGTTAACATTTACAATTGTTTTTCTTAGTAAACATATAGGACATTCTAAACATATCCAAAAATCTAACAGAATATCTACAAATATTGGATTATTTGCTGCTTTCCTTTTACAATTTTATATATAAAATTAATAGATTTTTGAGAAAAGTTTCCCAACCTAACTATTTTTATTTAGAAAATGTTAGTAATTTTTCTACTTGACTCAACACGAAAGAAATTCATTTTGTAAAATCACAAAGGTTCGGTGTAATTTTATCACTGCTTAGATCAATCAAATAAAGCAATTCCTGCTGTATTTAAACTTTCGCATATTATCACAAGCATAAAAAAATAAAAAAATACTTTTTTGGTCTGAAATTATTTATTTTGTTGCACTTAAGAATACATTACACGTGTCAAAAAAAAAAAGTCGAAACATACAAAAAAATATGGGTGCGTAAACGAACCACTGGGAAAAAACATTAAATAATGTTTTGGGCACATAAGATGTAACATATAATTTATACATAAATATACAAAATAAAGCTTTCCAAATAGAACCTGATTGGATATAAAAAAACGCATAATATTTTATTGTGCGGGTGAGCACCACTGGTAACACCCGGTTTCATTTTTGGTGATATTTTAGAAAGTATGAAGTATGTAAATGCACATTACACTTATTACAAACGTAAATTGTGTGACTGTGGCAGATTCTATATCTCCTTCGGGCTTTATTAGCATGAACAATCATGAGGTGACCTTGGTTCTCATAACGCCCTTCATCTATGGCAGGTGCAAGATTTTTGAGTAATTGTTTTATCAGTTTTTAAAAGTCGCAAAGCAATGTAAGCTTTAAAATCAAATCAATTATTTCGTCATCAAAAAACATAAAAAATATTTCAAGCGGAGTTTTTCTAGAAAGCCTATTTTTTAGTTGCTCTCATGATCTAAATTCATCGGACACAGGTGTATGAGTGTACTCAATCTGAGCTTGCTTCCATTTGACAGTAGAAGCAAGCCTGTCGCTTGCAGAAAGCATACATCTTCTTTTGAATTCCAGGGTTTCATCATCTGATGAGTCCCATTCAGGTTCAGTAGTTGATGAATTACAGGACTGTTGAAGGACAGCTGTATCATTCGGTGTATGTAACTCGAAAGTTCCCACTATATCAGTTGGTTTCCCAAACTCTTGTAGATGTATGTTATCGTTCATATCTTCTTCGTCAGTCAAGATATCCACATCGGGTGGAATATAGAAGGCATCAATATGTGCTGTAAATATTTTTTCACGTTATTTTTAGCATAAATTTACAAGGAATGGAATGCTACAATACATAAGAATATGTTAATCCAAATAATACTTTCGATTGTTATTGTCCTCATCCGCCAGGATCTTCTCCATAGCCGCTTCTCTTTTGAGTCAAATACCTCGGAAATTTCATATTTTACGAACTGTAAAGTTCACTGCACAAGGCACAAACTAATACTAAAGAACGTGCTAATTGTTGGATGTTTGACTTGACAAAAATGACAATACAAATCCAAAATACATTTTTTAATATTTTGGATTTACTTGAAAATGTGATACAAATTTATGTACCCCTTTTGTTAACTTTTGAAGTCATATATAAGATCTTTCCTTTACACATAAATTAGCGATTGCTACGGTTTTTTGGCCTTTAGTAGCGATAATAATAAAATTTCTAGATAGATGGGCAAAAATATTTCCTGGATTTAACAAAAAAAATCATAGAATAGGGACCACTGGGACAAAATGGGTTAATAAAAAATGATGTCGTACTCGGAAACTTGAACTTCCGATCACCTCTTGTAAAAAAAATCGCCATTACTACCACCTTTCGGCCCCTAGGTGAAGGCGATTCCTGACGTAAATGTTTGGTTAGCTGACGTTTACCAATACAATTATTGTAAAATATTGACTATAAATTTTAACGAATTGCTTCGAGCATCCATGACTCGATTTTATTAATAAAACAAACAATTCTGAAAGTAGATAAACAATAATCCAAAATAATTTGCGCGTACAAACACTATTAGAGTTAGATAAAAAATATATGGAGCTTTATTATATACGTGTTAGAAGATAACGGTCATTGAAGGGCTTATACGGTACTACGATGTTGTATTCAATTTTATGCTTTATTGGTGTGACTAAATCAATATTTATATACGCCGTATGGTCACGTTTTTTTTTTTCATTCGTATTTGGTAGAAATTGATGAAGAAAAATGTATTAGAAGCGACCTTACAATTACCAGTGACAAGTGGTATCGAAATTTTCACGCTATACGTAACAACTTTCGTTTTATTTATTGTGAAATTAAATTAAACGCCAAATATTCATCTTATTTCTATAAGAAAACTTATTAGAATAACACTCTTGGGAAACAAATATTTGGCAGAAAATTATTTTTTGATTATGTTTATTATTGTAATTTTCGTTAAAAGTAAATTAATTACGCGACATTCACGCTTAACACATCGCCCACCATTAATGTTCGTTGCCCGCGCCTCCAAGGTTTTATAAAAAAAAAACAAAAGGTGGAAACTCCAGAAATGCAGTTTGAATGTCATGTGACAACCCATATTTTTGAAAGGTGTTTATTTATTAATTAACAAACGCACTATTTTTTTAAATTTTCAAATAGCTTGCTTTCATCGTCTTACGATGGTTTGTTATGGGTTGTTAGGTTAACTAAACAAAAATTACAAGCTGTGTCTAATCTCTCCAACTTCTGCCAACACCAAATGGTTTCCTAGGTTCACCTCTATACCATAATGTTTACTATTCTGAACTATTTCAGTCTTCACTGATGACTGCAGATACATCTTTTTCATTTTAAGGCAAAGTAAGCAACAACCACTCGTTATTATAACCGAAATTGTAAGATTTGACAGCTTTGTAAGAACAAAATATGTCATTTCTAACATAAGCAATTCTCATATTGTAGTGTTATTAAAGGCTTTTTTTAAAAGTTGTGGTAAGCCTGTCAATGTCAATGAAAACATTACCTAATGTACCACCGTCATACACGGAAAAAACAAAATACTTGGTTCAAATAGCTTTGCTCAAGACTACGCCGGTTTAAAATAAAAATGTCAAATTCTCAATATTTTAAGTTTCCTTTAACAAAATGAAAAGCTTGGTTTGAGTATTTAAAATTTTGTAAACAAAAATCAAGATAATCCAAATTAAATATTAATCGCTTAATTTTTTTGAAATTTCAGAAATTTATGTAGCAACTTGTAATCGAAATATACAAATTTACTCTATTTAAATCCAACAAGTTATTCCTGTTTTATTTGATCTTATTCCAGTTTTATATAGAGACGATGCTGATTTTACAGTAAAATTGGAAGTATTTTGAAGGTAAATTTTTGTTTAGACCATTCTACTAATTGAAAACTTTTATTCTGGGGGATAGAAAAATATATACAAAAAATATAAAAATATCTTTCCACTAAAACATGTTATTAATTGACACATGATTTTTGATAATAAAGGTAGTTAAAAAATGCTTTTAAAAATGACCTTTTACAGAGGTTTTACCAAAGATACATCAATAATTATGACAAAAATAAATTTCTACCTTTGTTAAAGACCAGTGATAAATAACACATTTTATTAAAAAGGTAACTCGATGCAGATATTTACATTATTTGCGTTAATTTCATCTATCCAAAACTAATATTTCTGTTATCATATACAGAGAATTTTTGTGATCTAGAATGTAGATTTAATTTAACATGTAAATAGTTACTTTGAAACTACTTTTAGAAGAAAAAAAAATCCATTAATAACTTTTTCTTTTATTCTCGAATATGGCACAACCATATTCTCAAATCGAAAGTGTGTTACGGTTCGTCCTTTTCATTTGAATATTAGGTATATTGTTTCTCCTTCTAAAATTATACATCAACATTTTAAGGAGGCAACCCTTTCCAAAAAAAGAGATAATACAATCGCAGAAATAGAATTTGTAATTTTGAAATAAAAATTTTGAACATTTTAAAACAAGACTATTTACTACAATGAAAGATATATCTTCAAATTCCTAATCTAAACTGATGTCCATAAATATTTTAATTTAAATCGAGAAAATAGTGAAAATATACGTAATCTACAATTGAGAATTTGTTTCTTTCTGTGTGGGGTATGCATCACACTGGTTTTATTTATTTTAGCAAAATTCAAATCTATTTTATTAAAACTGCCGCACCTACAACTTTTGAGGTTGTCCTTAGCGGTTTTCTACTTCTCAAAGGAATATTATCTGCTGGTCTTTTACTGAGAAATTCCACTAAACCTGCTGCCTCAATGTCCAGGAATAATTTAAATATTTGATCAATACAACACATAGAATACATACTTTTTCGTTCATCGATAAAAGAAGAAGCATTACAGTTTTTTTCTTTGGAATGAATGTCGATGGAGTTCTCGCCGTTTTACTAATATCGTTATTACTATTGACATTATAGATTAACACCTCATATTAACATCTTCATACGCCACTTACGCGTATCTATTAACGGTAATTAACTAGTTAAATTTATATAGTTTTACGGGTTAATTTTCTACTACCCTTATTTGGTTGCTGAAGAACTTAATACCTCGTTTCATTACTCCACACCATTTAGGAATATACTTTAGACGCAGAAAATTATTTTTTATTCTTGTTTTTTGCTGTAATGTGCTTTATTAACAGTTGCTAAGGGAGAAAAAGATATCTATTGACAAAATAAAAAATAATTGCCATCGATGGCGAGATTATCTTAGAAAATGATTTTTAAAAAGTATTTGAACCTGCCCCAATTGCACTCCCGTTTGCAGGATCGTATTGCTTTAGTAGTTCAAGGTCACGTGGTGCGTTTTTCTTTACATGACAGGCAGTTGCTAATTGATGTTCAAACATTAATTTTCTAAATTGATAGCAGGGGCAGACATTGAACGCTTTAATAGAATCTGGTTCGAAAATTAACACTTAGGTATAGAGTGTTTTATTACTAAATACAATATGGCATTAAAAAATGGCGGATACAAATATATTATTTCCAAATCGATAGATAGTAGTGCGATGTCCTATTTCTGTTAATTGTTTGCGTCTATATTCGATTTTTTCGCTATTTTAGATGCAAACAAGAAAATCCCAGTTGGACGGTAGACTATATTTACCGTCTTACAAATAAAATGCAGTGTTTACAGGCTATTGTGTAGTTTCTAACAGTTTATAGAAGGAACACAAATATTTATGGTTCGGACGCCTATAATATCTCATTTTATTTTAGAGGTTAAAATTAAACCTGGACAACATATCTAATTACTATTTCCAAGATCTGATTCTATTTTGCAATAGTTTATAAGTTCCAAATAATGTGAGTCATTATTTCAAACCTGCAAGTTCCAAAATGCAAGTTTCATCAAAAGTAGTGATAATTGACAATTGACAATTGGAAATCTGACGTCATACTATGAAATATGAAATTCAAAAAGGGGATTCTAGGGCCAAATTCACTAAAACTCTCATCATGATTCTCGTTAAACAAAAGAGTATTAATACTCTAATACTAATTAATAGGCTATATATAAAAGTGATATCGGTTATGCTGTTATATCCCAGAGGAATTTTAGAGCACAGTATGAGGGCATTCTTTGGCTTGTGGTTTAACCCTGACCCAGAAAAAAATTATGACTACTGCTACTAAAATTGATATTATATTTGGTATAAGTTCAATTGCACCGAATCTTACAGAAATACGAAAGATGAAAGTGCAACAAAATTCAATTAACCTATCCAGTAGAAATGCTAATAGATCTGTATAACCAACTATCACTCTTATTAATTAAAATAAGCGTCGTTTAAACTGTATCGTCAGCATCATCACTTTGTTTTTGCAATATCAATTTCGGCAAAAATGAGTTTCAAAATTGAGGAGTGGAAGTAATAGTGGTGGTAAGAAAGTTCTGAGATATTCACGAAAAATGTAATAAAAAGGACAATAATCTTTTTTAATGGTTAATTAACATAAAAAATTCAAGGCAAACGGAAAACTAATACTAACACAAAAATGATGTAGCAAATAAAACAAAACTAAAAATAAAAATATTTTATATATTTATATATTTTAGAGCTTGTTGACAATAAAATTCATGTTAAAAATAAATACTTTTTTTTCTTCTTTCTAATCAATGCTTGTAGCAGATTGATGTTTGATTTAACTTGACGACATTTTTTTGGACGGGGAGACAGTGACATCTTCCATTGGCTGGACTGTTGCTTCGTTTCTGGATCGTAAGAAAATCTGAATCCGTTTCAAGCTGTTGATTTAAAGCACGACAAGTTTCAACTCGATGTTCTTTTTGCATGTCACGAGGAACAAACTTGGCAGCAACTCTTTTCATTCCCAAATCTTCGGTTAAAATTCGCTGAACCGTGCTCCAAGACAACCCACTTTGATACACATACATCTTTGATAATTGTTTAATTGTCTGTCGACGGTTTGTGAGCACAAACTGTCGAATCTTTTCAATATTTTCGTCGATTCGAGCAGTTGATAGACGTCCAGAACGAGGTGGGTCATCAATTGACTCGTCGCCATTTTTGAACAGAACAAACCATTGGTACACTTGAGTTTTTCCCATCGCATCGTCTTTATAAGCTGTTTTTAACATTGAAACAGTTTCAGCAACACTTTTACCGAGCAGAAAACAAAATTCCACAGCTGAACGTTGTTCTTTTAAACTTGCCATCGAAAAAAACGAAATAACAAAAGAACAGCTTTAAAAAAAATTTCTTGTTTCCTCCACTCTTCAATTGTTCTCCTCAAGACTTAACCCAAATAGACTATGGTAATAACGTCGAGAATTTGTTTCAGGATGTACAAAAATGTCGATAGTTTATCGACCTGTTGGTCAAAGGCATCGAAAAAATGCTACGCATAAAATCCAGAGATGTTCATCACAAGCGCGATAGCCATATTTCTAATTTTAAAAGTAGGTAGGTCGTAGTTGGAACCTTCAATCATGTACAGTCATGCCATTGCAGGAAATATCCGCAGGAAACGGTGACGATTTTACAGGACCGCCATGTCATGGTGGCATTTTTAAATCACTAAACATCAGGTCGTTTGTAGATCGCCACAGACAAATTCGTTTAAACGTTTCCTGGGACCAGCCAATAGGCAAGTACGTAATAAATTTAAAATCACCTTATAACGTTAGAAATGTTTTCAGATAATTTTCAAACGTTTCAAATGAAAATAGACACTTTCGATAGTGACTGCATAATGCTGTATGACGAATACAATATTTCCGTTGAGGTAGGTTTTAAAATATAATTTAAATTTCAAGTGTAAACAAAAAAACTTTTAAATACTGGTAATTAATTAAAGATCTCTTGAAAGATTAAGGTAGGAATAAAGGTGCAGTGGCCTTTAGTAATATCGATTTCGTTTAAATTTAATTTAGTTATGAGATAAAGTTTTTAAAACCAAATTTTGAATCATTTGAGGTTTTAGCAAAAAATTTTGAAAAGGAGTGCGTACCTCCCTCGTTAACAGAGGCTTTCGTGCATTTTTAGAGATAGAGTTTTTACGTAGGATCCAGTGGCGTCACAAATTTTGTTATACAAAGCAAATAAAAATCTCTCATTGTAATTAAATAAAAGGGTATCTGTTTTCCTAATATAATTTAGTTGAAAAATAATCTTGACATTTTGTAATTAATATTTAAATATCGACATCTCCTTCCTTTCGCTATGGCTCTTGTTAACACAAAATAAGGCAATTATGAGAGATTCGATATATACGGTGTTTCAAAACAAATTCGAAAAACTTAAACTTAAAATAATTTTTAAAACAAAGTCAACCATTGCAGAATTATCTCGCTACAAATATAGAGGAAAAATAACTTTTTATTTTTTTATCTTAACAACGAAATAATTTAAAACCATAAAATATTACGGAAGTAGATATAATAAATAAAGTTCCATGAAAAACTTACCCAATGGGATGTAAAAAAATTTTATAAACTAAATTAAATTTCATGAAATGTAGAGAATTGCATGTCAAGTTTACAAAAATTTTTTAGTTGGTTGCTGTCCAACAGTTGTCCTTTGTAGCAACATTTATTAATTATCTTCTAAACAAAAACATTTTAAAAATAATTTCATGGGTACGGCGAAAAGGAATTTCTGATTGTGCGCTGGTACATAAATTGCATGGATTTTCGGGATTGGTATGAATCACTATTATTAAACTAAATTAAAACTATTACTATTAAATAATAATTCGATAATAAATTTTTGATTAAATTGGTCAACAATAAGAAACGCGGAATGAAGTGACAACAGCCCACTATATTTTTTGTATCCCGTTATGTATTGCAAATTTTTTCTTAAATTTAGCTCATTCATAAAATAAAAAATATGCAGAAAGTATGTTTTTATAATAGTAATACTTCTGTGATATTTTATTGTTTTATCTATTTTTATAAAAAAAAAAAACTACTTTTTGAGCTATATTTGTAGCACGATATCTCCTTAATGATTGGCTTTTGACTCAACGTCTATATAACGAAAAAAACACAAGGTTACTTTACGTGTCAACATTTCAGTTCAGAGTTTCAAAAGAAAACTGAATATGTCACTAGATCCCTACGTAAAAATCCTGTCCAGACCTGTTTCCACCTTTTCTATAATTTAAAGCATAACCGAGCTACAAAATAGATCTAAAAATATAAAATTTTCAAAACTACCCTGTATGTAAAAATCACGGTGGGTCACGGAAGCTGCAACACGCTAGCTTTATTTATAAATTTGACACAGTGTACACTGGTCTAATCTCCTCAGTGGTAACTTAAATTATTGCTGAAAAATATATTGTTTACCAAGAATGAACCGTGGATAACACATATCCTGCATTATATGGATTTGCTAAAAAACTGTAGGATATTTGCAGAGTTATTTCATAATCGAACCAGATATGAGACTGGAACATCTAGCAGAACCCCTAACACATGGATGCAAGTACGAATTTACATTTTATGCAGACGCTATTAACGACACGTGTTATAAGGAAACGCTGGATTATATAATAGAAGGTAAGTGTTCTAAACCGAAATACGACGATTCAAGAGGATATTATATTAATATATTATATTATACTCAATTTTTTTATCGATTTTGTTTTAAATGAACACCTAAATAATTGAGTCTAGATGAGATTCAAACAGTTACATTCCAGTTTCGCCTAAATATACAAAGAGATAAAAATGAGAATTCCCATTAAGTGTTTGGGAGCTAAAATTTATAAAAAATCTAATCTAAATCTGTTAATATCTATTCTGGTGTACCTCAGGGATCTTAATAAGGGCTTATTGCACTGTTCACAGGCGGATATCAACGTTCTTATCTCCTGATGACGCATAGGTCTGCGAAGATAATCGAGGACTGTCATACATTTCAAGATGATCTTGATCTACGACTACTGCCTTGAAAATCGTTTAACAGAACAGATTTTGATTATACACTTTACTGATTTAATAATTGCGTGTAACGGATACTGGAGTTAATATACAAAACTAAATTTTAAAATTCATAATGAGAATATAGTAACGTATAGTAAATTGAATGGGCAGGTTCTGTCGTGTCATATCGAGTTGATCTCAATTAGTAGTATATAATCACACAACTTTCCAATGGAATTTATTGTCCAAATTTATTAGAAACATTATCGTTAATTGCTAGATGAATAATGGTCAATTTCCTAGTTGCTAATGTATTTATTTCATAATGAGCCTCTTATGAACTGTTGGTTTCTGGGCACTTTTTTTAGTTCTTATTCTTTCGAGAACTCTATAATCAATTACACTTTTTAGAATTAGTGACCCAAAAGAATAGAAGTGCCTTCCTAGCCTTGCCCTAGTTACAGATGGACTAAAACTCCCGATTGTGAAAAGCGAAAAATCGCGGCCATGGTTAGTTACTATTGGAAACGGCACATTTTGCTCTACGATCCCTATATAAAAACATGAGCATTGTAAACTCCAAATTTCGCAGAATTGGAGAATTGGTTACAACAGCTTCAGAATGCTTGTTGTAAGTTTTATATGACAGTGTCAAAAAAATAAACTCCATCGATTGCACATAGACATAGAAACCAAAGTGGTCTACTGAACTTCAACAATTTTTCTATTCCTTTTTTTCGATTAACATTGTTTCGCTCTAGCTTTATTGTAATTTATTATTCTCTAAATTGATTCTCGTAATTTATTATTCTCTTACAAATCTAACCCTCAACAGGTAGAGAGCCCAAATGCTCGGTTATCCGTGACGCACTAGCAATTTTGTCCTTAAGTAATTTTAATTAATTAATGACTAAGAAAATTCTAAGGTCAATATATAGTTAAGTGTGAGTAGTCGCACGTGCGAAGAAAGATTTAAATAAATAAATAAATACATTTTAAAACATTGTAACGAATAAATTGTGCGCTTAGCTCATTGTGCTAAGGTCCTCTTTGTTCTAAACAGATAAATAAATTCAAACTGCGTGTACAGCAAATGTAACTAGGAATCACGCGATATAAGTATATTTAGAAACTTATCTGAACACATTATTTTTAATATCGTCGTTATTGTTTTGACGAAAGATCTGATATTATCTAGGATTAACTTACTGTAAAGTATTTCCAGATTAAAGATCCTATTAAGAAAACGTGGTTTTTATTGACTTTAAAGGCTATGCCTGTGTCCTTTTTAGGAAATTAATCGACAGGCTTAATTTTTGGATGAATTTTTTATCAGCCAGAAGTTATTTTGGACTTGGAAATTAATGACCGCTAATTATGTTTTATTTTAGATTGCGTCGATACGGTATGCCAGTGCGAGAAAGGATCGCCATTTGTTTTAAACAGCCTCGAAAACTTCTTGAACAGTAAATATTTAATGACATTTAACAAGACCGACAGAGATGTGGCCGTGTCTCTAGAAGGAATTTTCAATCAAATCTGGTAGTAAGTACCCAAACGCGACTGATTCAATTAACATATTTATTCGATACTTTCTTGGGTTATTTATTACTACATTTTGAAATTTGAATACTTATTATTATAGTACTAAAAGCAGCACAAACAAAACCGTATCACTGGTTCATCACGAAGACATAACTTTCGATAATGCTAATAACATACTAAAGTTTCCCTTGGATGTAGAAGCAGGTGAAAAATATGCGGTTCACGTCGATCTGTATCTGGATCATTGCAAATATCATTTCCAAAGTGAAATCGCAGGTATGTCATGGCGAAAGCAACTCGTACCCCTTCATTCTCATGTTCACGTTTCTGCAGTTCCGGTAAAAGAGACGCACGAAAAAAGATACCTTTTCTACTCCTTGTTTCTGTTCGTTTTGACTGCTCTTGGAGCTTCTTACTACGTATACAAGCAATGGCCGAAACTGTTGTCCAAACTTCAAAGGATCGCCATGGTTAGGCGACAGTCCGAATCGAGAGTTACTTATTCGCAAGACAGGATAGCGCCAGTCCCTCTAATGTAAGTTAATTTTTTCGAAACGCATTCTCAAAAACTAATCTCGACGTCATCTCCTTCAGGAAAGAAGTTATAAATATCCAGTACACACCTTTGGATTTTATCGACGTATGTATCTCTTACAAGTAGATAAGCAAAGAGAGGCTTAGAGCAATATAAGAAGTGCCACCAGGTGCTGAGGATTTCACAGAACGAAATGCCGAAAAGACAACGAGTGACATTTTTATCTTTGTTACATTTCTGCTCTAGAACTCTGTTTGCTTATCTACTACTAATATTTACTGTCATGGTGATTGAATTGATGTCACTGTCAAGTGTGGTTTTCACTGTAATAGTATCTGTCACGATGTGTAAAGTCTTGCTCCTGTATATTAGGGAATAAAATCGATCTAAACGAAAGCAACAGCGTTATAGAAAAATGAGGCAAATTTTACAACAGAAAAAGAGTGTTATTTACCGATACAAGTAATGAGATTATTTCTACATCAAACAGTACTTCTAAATATTTGTATGAAATAAAATTATCTAAAAAAAATTATCTAAATTCTTAGAAAATCTGTGCCATAAAAATTGCAAAAAAAAAGAAACATTTTTCCCAAACTTTACAAAATTTTTGTTATTTAAGTCAAAATTATCTCAATACCAAGCTAATCTACATATATATGGATACAGTTTTAAAATTTATGTACGCTAAGTATATTGCCAACGTAAGTTAGTTTTTTATGTTGTTACTGGCTTAAATATAAGTTTTCTTTTATTTCCATAGACATCATGTTGTTAAACAATGAAAAATAATAATTTAATTCTTAACTGACAAAGGGCAGAAGGGGGTTTTCTATAGTTTTGTGACAACTAAATAAATAGACCAACAAATCGTCTGAATGATGAATTGAACATGCTCGCCAATCATCCCGTTGCCTTCAGAGCTTAACTAAAACTATTTAATTGGCGAAACCAAGGAGATTTGGAAATATTATTACAGTAGCCTGTAGAAGTTTCTGTGAAAAAAATGCTTTTTTCAATAAAATCATAAATGCACATTCTCACGTCATAAGTGAAAATGATAAAATCAAATAATAATCAAATTCTTTATTACGTGGTATTTTTATAAATAGCAACAAGTAAATAAATAATAAATTTGGATATTTCATATGTTCAACGGAAGAACACGTAATTTCTGGCTCATTTAGATACTAAAGTTTCACGACTGTTGCGGCTGACCAAAATAGACCCAAATAAAAAATAATCGAACATACTATCAAGAAAGTTACGTGGCGTACAATGGATAGATTATAGAGCGTGGATATATAGCCCTCTACATATTTTATGAAAAAATAGGATGTAATCGTATTCTCTACACCAAAAAACCATCAAAGCTGACACGTCGATATCTCAGAATCAGACAGTTTAATTTATAGCTTTTCTTTTTTTTTGGCTTATTACGGACTACAATGTATTTTAAATGTTTATTCCTAAATGTCTTCAGAACGCTCACAAATTCGACAAATACGAAATACCGAAGAACAAGATCGTCTTGAAGGAGGAGATTGGCGGAGGCGCGTTCGGGAAGGTCTACAGGGGCGAGGTGTACTCTTTGAACGGATTCGAAAACAAGCTCACGACCGCTGCTGTAAAAATGACTGTTGGTAAATGTTCACGTTTTAACGGCGGTAACTTTTTGGTAATCGTTTAACTCGGTTCGTAAGAAAACGCCCCCGATGAAGAAATAAACGATTTTTTGGCCGAAATCCAGACGATGAAAAATATCGACGCCAACGGAGGACATTCAAACGTGATCAAGGTTTTGGCCTGCGTGACCAGAGAGAGGCCGTACATGATGGTCATGGAACTGGCGCCGCATGGTTCATTGAAAAAATACCTGTCGAATTTGAGGAAGCAGTGGGAAAGCAAGAAAGCGAATTGTAATAAGGATGACCGGCGTTTTTTTCCGGAGTAAGTTTTCACAAAAACTACGCTTCTACCTCGGAAAAGCTGGCAAAATAAACTTACGCCTAATTGTTGAATTTGCTAGAATTTCGATTCAGAGGTGTTTCGATTTAGAGGTGTTATCATCGTTAAGCATTGTTTGAAAGATCGTTGTCATACTGCGTCTTCAAATGGTATAATGCTGTTCCCAATAATGTATTCTTTTAGAAAGTATTATAAATCTTTTCTTTATAGTCAATGTACCAGAAGAAAATAATAATAAATACGAAGTGCAAAAAAAAACATCGGCTGTGACGTCATTGTACTGTTATAACGCGAACGAGCTTAAAACATTAACTTGTGATTTACATATAACATACAGTAAATGCTTAACCTTAAATATTTATAAAAAAATTCTAATAATAAGAACAAAGCAAAGCTGATCATTATCTTTTTCCTTTAATGTTTCACTCTTCTGCCTATTTAATTTATTTTTTGAACAGAATTCAGTCACCATAGAAAAACAACTTGAAGATTTTCCAACTGTTCCTTCAAAAGTCTTTCTTCAGTCATAATTGAAATTGTTATTAAATTTGCTTAAAATAATAACAAAAACTGTCCTAAACAATAGCAGCAATACCACGGAATCCATAGGTTTAGGTTAGTTGTACAACTCCCACCAGCTGACATTTAATGTACAGTGATGTCATAAACTCACGAGCCTACTAATGTGTTTCAGAACTTTATATAAAGGTTTTCAAAGCATATTTATCAGCCAAGGATAAGCCTGCTTCTTCATTTCATTATTTGTTCTAACTGGCTTATGTTTATGATTTTGATAATAATTGATGACTTTATTTGTTGTCATAGGTGTCTTTATTTGGTGGAAATAGAATAAGATAATTCATTTCAGTTTCGTCCCAGCGGGTAAGCTACTGATTTATTGAAGATTAATCTTGTTAGACCAAGCAATCAAAAATGACACTTTTTTGTCTTGTTTTTTTTGGATCTTCGAGACAAAAATTAAAAACCGGTGCCCAGCACGTTCCTGAACTATCCGATGCAGTCGTTTTTTTACTAATTACAATGTGTTGCTGACGATAAATTTTGTTTTCATTAAATGAATCTAATAAATCATGACGACTTATTAATTGTTTTAGCCCTCTTTGATAAAGGAAAATGTCAATTTTCTAACTCAAACAAAGCTAGGCACGAAAAAATAAGGCACGAAAAGCTTTATTTTTGATTGCATGATCCAACAAAGTTAAATTTTGAAAATACCAACTATTAATGAGATCGCAAGAAACGCCACTGCAGCGAACAATTTTATCTTAATTTCATAAAATAAAGACCCTTATGACTATAAAACAGCACGCAAGTTAAAAATTCAAGATCAGGTTAAAGGTTTTTGAGTAATTAATAAAACAAGTTTTTTTCTTTTATCTCGAAAACGAAGCAAAAACTGTTGACTGACGAATATGCCCTTAAAAACCTCGTATTTAATTTTGAAACACTTGTATAAAGTTGAGGAGATATTAACTTTAAAATTTCTTCTGTAATTATTGTTTTTTTACTTTTTAAAGTTTTTTTTTTCACATATTGCAGTGACTGAGGCATAAATTGGACACTTTATTTTTTTACTGTTAAAGTTTTGTAATTTTTTTAAGTGCGAGTTTATTCACCTGGGTCAATAAAACCCGTAGAGTTTCTAAATTAAAAAATATATTTGCGTATGTTGGCGTCCTATAAAAAACCCAATCGATTTCATCCAAAGCTCTGTCGGCTTGCAACATTCTGGTGTTATTTTTCCCACACACTTCGTCGCACTGGGATAACACCTCGATATAGAGACAAAACACGTATTGTTTTTTCGAAGTCTATTTATAGATGCTTTTGCTATAGGGTAGACAGTCTACTCTATCTGAATGTGAATTTAAAAGGGAACCAGACAATTATGATACATAAACGTAAGCATTTCGCAGTGATTAGTAAATCGTTTCATCAGGATAAAGCTAATAGAGATGTCAACATCTCATCGTTCCTTGGTCATTGCATACCTAATTCAAAACTTAATAGTCTATTTTCTCTTCACAATTCAAAGTCAAGCATTTCATTAGGATAAAGCTAAAAGAAGAGTCAGAATCTCTCTCTCTCTCCTGTTTCCAATTGCCTTATTGAATGTGAGTGGGCTTTCCTTATCACAGATACACAAAAAGGATACAGCTATACAAAAATGGAAGCATTATGCAGTCACGAGGCAATCGTTTCACCAGAATAAAGCTTATTGAACTGTCAAAATCTCCACAATTCCTCCTAATTGCCTTGTTAAATTTCAGCCATATGGTCGTAGAAGAAGTTATCGCGTCGGATAGAATCGTATCAGTAGACGATAAGCTCAAATACAGCAGTTTATGTTTCGAGTGAGTATAAAAATTCGTATAGTAAACTTACAGGCAAATCGACATCTCCAGAATTCTTCCTTCACAGAGATTGTACGGGTAGTTCAGGATCCGGTTCTTATATAACCCCGGACGGACCGAGGACTCCGCTAACTCCCAGTACGCCGGGAGTCGCCCATGGGTCCAGGCCTGGAACGGACCAGCCAAAAGCTACGAAAACTACGAAACCTTCTAAAAGCCAGAAAAGTATCCGTATTCCTTTGTGTACTGCTGCGCCATCTAGCCCGACGTCTGTTACTTCTAGTGGACTACCGTCAGTTACCGAAAGTAAGTTTTTTAACTGAGGTCTAATTTTGAAAGTAAGAAAAACAAGTAGCGCCCCCTATAATCAAGAGCTAAATCAAAAATTAATTCAAGTGTCTGATATCTAAAAACCCCCACCTACCAGTTTTCGTTCAAAAGCTTTTAGGAAATAACAAAAAAAAAATAACACCCTATCTCTTGAAAACAAAAGACATCACACTACACGTTTATAGCGACTTTTTACGTTACAAAATATTTTAGAATCACGCTCCGACACTTTATTAAATATCACCCTGTAAACAAGAACACTCCGAATGCTAAAAATATACCTGATAACATCAGAGCTACAATTAAAGTTATTATAAACGCATTGGTCCCTAGACTTTTAACTCATAGACCACTTTCAGAATTTATCTGGTTCCAGTGGATCATCGGGATCTACATTTCTATCATATTCCCTTGCGAATTTGGGAACTAGGGGTTCAGAACTATACTTTGCTGTGTCTTACAGGTCTGAACTTTTTAAGTTACAGAAGAAACAATAGAGAAAAAGTATATTATGCAACAAGTGCGGTAATAGTATATCATGCAACAAATGCGGTAAACGGCATTTGACTCACGAGTTTATTTGACACGAGCGGAACGAGTGTTTAATAAACGAGTTTATTGAACATGTTGCATACTATACTTTTTCTACGACCGTCAGGTTTTGGGTACATTTTCGCAAAAAGACACGTCACAATTCAAGGCGTGGGAAATATCTCCGAAAACATCCGATTGCTCCCAAACCCGTGCGGTAAAATTCCGGGAGTGTCCGAAGTGGCTCAGTTCCGTGGGAAACGAAACTGAAATGGTAAAAGTGACGCTTCCCGCACGCTAGATCGGTGTATAATTGGGCATTTTACAGACTGGAGTAGAAAAACAATATTTATGTCATTGTAGAGTGAATGAAAGAGGGAAGCTATATTGGAGGTGGGCTTATCCCTTTGTTTAAGTTTTTGTGGCGATGATCATTAAAAAAATCTGATGATCAGGCAAATAAAATAATTCCCATTTTCCTTCAATTTCGATTAACTTGAAAGATTTCCTTATTTATTTTATTTATATGGGAAACCCCCATTAACTGTAAACAGCAAAATAAAAGTCAACATATCACACACCCTGATAGGATGTCCAAAGACATTGAAAATATCAATATTAAAACACTATTCTTGAAAATCAGGTATCTATATACAGATGTTCTGAGCAATTGCATGTGAAAGCTTGAACACAAATATGGCTCCTGTTGCATGTCGTCGTTTGCATAATTATGTTCACATATTCGAATACAGTAGTTATCAGTTCAACTTCCTTTTGCGCTTCTTTTGTGACCTATGGTTAATAGCGTGTAAAACTGACTACAGTCAGTACAGAGTATAGAGTTACTTTCTATTGGTAAGTAACCACAACTAGGCATCCGGAATGATTATTTTTTTGAAGTTAATGCTCTTTTCCACATTCAAGCTCTCTTGACGCCACTAGAGACCCCACCCGAAGAAGACATCGACCCGCCACTGGATAGCGCGGAACTACAAGACTTTGCGCTTCAGATAGCCAGAGGGATGGAGTTCTTAGAAAGCATCCACGTGACCCATAGGTAGAGGTTAACCAACCGTTAGTTCCTCAACCTGTCGAATCTACTTTTAGAGACTTGGCGGCCCGGAATATCCTCATCAGTCAGAACAAACTCTTGAAAATATCAGATTTCGGCATGTCTCGGACCGGGGTCTACGTTACCAGTTCGCGTAAGCGTCAGCCGCTGCGCTGGATGGCACCGGAAGCCATAGAAAACCGCCGATACGACAGCAAGACTGACGTGTGGTCGTTTGGAGTGGTGCTGTGGGAAATCGGCAGCCTGGGTAAACCTAGTTCGCGCCTTTGATATCTGGAACTAATGTCCGTGTTTGAAATGTAGGCGCCTTTCCATATGGAGACCTCAGCAACGACCTCGTTCTGGTCCACATCAAACAGGGGAAACGTCTGGCAAGGCCAGAAGCATGTACCGAAAAAGTGTACGGAATGATGCAAAACTGTTGGCATGCGGATCCCAACGAGCGTCCGCCTTTTAGCGAAATTGCAAAGAGATTGGCCGAGACCAGCGATAAAATTTATGTGGATTTCAAAAAAATTTCGCCGGACTACGTATTTCCACCTGTTCAAGAAGCTTTAAAGTCGGTATAGCGGTCCCCACATAACAATTGTACGTTCTTGGTATGTGTCAAGAATACTCTGCTTTAGAATATGCGTTATTTATACTGCACAGATTTTTAGAATGTGCTAAGTACATTTTAGCGACCCAGACTCCATATTCTATTTATCGACTTGGTACATTCTTTAAAAGGCATGTAGTACATTCTTAGCATGTATTTATTATAAAGTCTTATAAAGTGTAAAGAGGTAAAGAAATCTGGTGTACCAGCTCTGTGAAATCCCCGAAATCCGTGAAATCGTGCCATGTTTTTAAATTTTTGAGATTTTTTTATTGGTATAAAAAATTAAGAATAACCGAAATTCCCAACTAAATTTGTATAAAAAAAGTTACTTAACTAAAGTCGAAGAAAAAGAAACTACATTTTGAAAACAAAAAAAAATCAAAAATATTATACATGTTTGTTTTGAAAATTGATGTAATTTATAAAATTAATATTTATTAATTTAACACTGACTCTGACGTTATTCTTTCACGTTTTTTGAAAAATAATATTTTTTAAATTATGAACGAATACAAAAATTTTTCACATAATTTTAAATTATTTTTCAAAATTAGTGAAATCTGGAAATTCATTTAGAAATCTGTAAAATCTTCGTGGAATTCGCGAAATCTGAATTAGCCGAAATCTTGCGAGAAATTTGAGAACTCATATGGTTGTGCGAAATCCAATTTTGGATTTGGAATTTGGACCTACCCTCGGATCTTCTAGGGTCATCGCACTGCATTATTTGGCAAAGACAAGAAAGGTTTCTAAAAACAAAACTTTATTTAAGATGTCTTTACCTTTAAGTTTTGCCCAGAAACTTTATTAGAATCATAAAAACTCACAGAAACTAGAAGATCCTTAAATGAAACAATTTTTAGATTTTCACTTAGTGTTTGGAATTGAATACTATTTAATTGGTAATTTTATTTCTTCTAGATCGAGATATTTTGAAAAAGTAAAAATAATGACTTTTTGTAATTTACTTATTTTTGGAAATATTCAAATGTTAAAACTTCCCTGGAGAAACTTTTCACGTAGGAAACGCTGCAACATTTTGACTTTTTGAAGCTACTACCAAGTTTGTCTTTTATAAAAAATAATAGAAATGTTATACCACAAAGAAAAATTAATAATATTCACTTTATTAAATGTTCATAAAAATTGATATTTGTTCAAATCAAAAAGCTTCGCTTAAAATGTGTCTACAAGGTCTTCTTAAGCGCGACAAACTTCTTTCACGGTACGAATATGAATATTTTACCTTTTTTTTAAACAACGCACCAAAACCTTCTGTGTGTGCGTATTTCTAACCCATACGATACAATTGTCGTACATGAAGGAACTTTGCCTTCAACAAGCATAAAAACTGAAAAATTCCTTCCTTCTTGAAGCGCGGACCGCGAACATAAAACTCAGACAAAATTGAGGTTATCTCCATAGACAAGTATTATTATTATTCTGGTTAGTTGCTATATCGTATGCACATAGATAACAGGGATTGGTTATTTACTGAGAATTGGCGACGGCCCGGCGGTAAGAGTGATGGTTATTTATTTCATGAATGAAAAAAAAAGTAACACAATAAAAATTTTACAATTTTTTAATTAGGTTGAAGGAACAACCTCAGCCTCTTGATTAGCCTTGTTTTGAAAATAAATTAATGAAATTTGAATTTGAATTTTACATAGCGTAATTCTTTTTTATATGTATTCAAAAAACTAAGTGCTAATAAAATAAATTTTTTATGAATTTTCTCAATGTTCTACTTTAAAGAATATTCTTTTCTAGTTTATTTTATGAATATACCTAGCACATTCTAAAATCTATATACTGATACTGACGTACAGTGATGTTGTGGTTCCAGGTGACGATCGGATCTCAAATACACTTGCCGTCAAAATTAATCGTTTAAAAAATATATTTGCAATCAAAATTCATAAAAATTTCGAGTGGGTTAATTAATTTGACCTAGTTTCGTGAAGTGTGAACAAAGTGAAGTGACTTTAAAGTGTAAACGTTGCGTTTTACGAAAGAAATAAATTATAATTAATGTCTGTACCTGCTGATTAAATTTATATATTTTTTTACGTATTTCCATTACTTTTTTTCAGTCGTTCGTTTGAAATAAGTGAGGATTTATCTCCTCCAATAACTGCGACGATAAAATAAAAGTTCATAGAACATAATGCACAAGTTTATTTTGAAAGGCTTTCTTGTCCGTGATTGCCGTCGTTTGAAATCCGACAACACCGCCAGTGCCGCCCTGTCTGCGCATGGCATCCATTTTAATTCGGCGCGTTCGGCGAAGCAGTTGTTTTTAAACGTTGTTTTGGTTGATACGAGAAAATGTTACAAACAGCTTTTTAACGCGGGCGGGTAAAAACAATCGGAGATATAATGCATTCTTATGTAAACCTTCAAGATAACGTGAGTTCCGCAAAACATCCACATAGGATTCTATACCAGTGTACCGCCAGTGATGATCCAGGATCCAAATTGGTTTTATATCAACGAATGGTAAGTTTTGTAATGCTGCTAATTATTCGGACACTAATTTATAGGTCGTACAATATAACTCACTGGATACCAAATAGATCATAAAAATCATCGTTAGAAATGTAAAATTTATCCTTGCGTAATAATATGCTGAGCTTTTTCTTTTTAGAACCTGGGTAATTTATACAACACAAACTTTTTGGTTGCGTTGAACTAGAGTCTATTCTCTCCGTGTATATTCAGTATAAGTGGATGTAGCCTAAATCCATTCAGAATTGAATTGAATTTTCTAAATTAAAACCATGAGATACTTATAGAATAAAGTAAACGCTCCCAAGTTGGAAAACATTTAAGCATAACTTAAAACTACTTAACCCATACCAAAGTACTACTGCATGGAAACGATTTTTGTAGCTACTGTAAACCATATTAAAATGCATTGTGGGATTCACCAAGGACACCAGTTGCGTGAACAGATCAGAAGATGGCGGCATATTCAGAGCATTTTTTTATTAGTTAGTGCCACTTAGCTATATTATGATCAGATATAAACTGGTATGAGTTATTGTTTTAAGCAAGCAAGGTGAAAACCACTTTTTAGCTTGACAAACACCACAGATACATTTTGTCTATTTAAGTATTTAAATGTCAGCCCATTTGTTACCAAGTAAATGGGCCATTGTTGATTATTTTTATGAATTCTTTTGAAATAGTAGGTACTATGTTGGATTAAATGAAACAACATGGAGTTCTATTAATTCATGGTTTACTGCACAAAATATATCGAACATGTTCATTGCTTACAATTCTCGATTTACAGGTCATGTTGCAGGTCAACTGTGTACAAACGGACATTCGGCGGGTCACCGGTTACTTAACACAATAAAATATGGGCTCTGTATAGTAAAATCATCTATAATAATAGAAAACAATATGCGCAACCAGGTGACCCTGCTTATATGCTTAACGGACTCGCTGAAAAAACAACATATCAATATTTTCCCTTGCTTAGTAATACTGCCATTCAGCATTCTCTGTGTGGTGAAAAGTTAAAAAAAAACAATTAATAGTCACCTCGATATACAGTTCTAATGCATATTATAAAAAAGTCAATTAGTAAAATTTGTACATATTGCACTTTTTTCAAATAATTAACCTTAACGTAATATAAATTTAAATCTTTTAATAGGAATGACTTCTCTTGTTAAAACAGGTACCTCTTGTTAGTGCATTGTCATCATTTAAAACTTTTTTATGCTTCTGTAAGATTGATTTTCACGGTTAGTGCAATTTTTTAACATTCCTTCAGGAGACTAGTAGTTATCAATACAATTTATTAATTTATACTGAACGGAAATCATACCCATATAATATCGAAGTATATTCTTGAGGCGACTGCTAGGGGCATTTATTAGGAATTTTTAATCATTTCAATTACAAGATTACAAAAAAGTACAAAACAAAAAAAACAAGTGTACAACAAGTATTAAAAGATGACAAACGATTGATAGGACAAATTGGTCTGGATTCACTGGTTTTATGGAAAATATGTACACAATAAATCTAGTTCTCGGTCACGTGACTACAAAAATATATAAACTGAAGCACCGATTTTCCTAACAACCCGTCAAAACAAGAGAACGTCTAACAATTTTTAACACAATAGTTTTTAGTATATTTAACAAAATTTTCAAAATTATATACATATTGTACACATACGCTTAAAAAGAAGTGAGATTTCCAACGAATGGGAAACATTGTGTAAAATTTCGCTACAAAGGAAAGAAATTGTTTAAATAAATAATAATAGCAATAATAATAATGAGATGTTAGTCATAGATATCTTTCGTGTGCTAGTTTCTATTCTTTTATATATCAACCAGTTTGTTTTTTAGTATTTATCCAATTAGTAAATAAAAATTGATGTTTTATACAATGATACCGAACTTTCGAATGAAAACCAATTCGATTTCCTTAACATATACACAAATACAGTCGTTTTTATTTTCAGAGAGTTGTTGATGAATAGTTCCATGCAGTCCAACGTTAATAATTACGATCGTGAATACGAATACACATCGACATGTAAACTACGGTACTTTATGATGGCAGTCCCAAAATTGTTGGCAGTGTCAAATGTAATTCTATTAATACAAAAGTGTTTTGTGCCAAGAGTTAATGATTTAATGTTTTTTTTTCGACATTGACAAGCGACGGTTACTTAGTTAATCAATAAAGAATCTGACTACACATAGAAGACTGCATGGACCTCGATCGATCTTATAAAACCAATGCTTTTGCAAAATTTTCTGTAGGAAAACTAAAACAATAAATCTGCTAGTACAGTCTCAGTTGTCCATGTAATGAAGAATTAATAAGGCACTATTGTTGAGTCTAAACAAATTTAACTTTTCCTAACACTGCTAGAAGTTTAAAATTTACTACTTTTCCTATGTCAGTCGATTTTTTTGCTCTTAAAAACATTCATACTATCCATAAAGCAGTCTATCCTACAATGCAAAAAGTAAAGGTATTTTCTAATTTATTATGAGAGTTGCTATTACACTAAGCTTCGCTTTAATGAATATACACGTTATCAAAATCTGTAAGACGCGTGCTGTATGTAGGGGTATTAATTGCACATTGACAACCTGTGAATCCCGTATATGGTTTTATAAGACCGAACATATAAACCACATTGAATGACACAACATTTTCATGATATTTGACAATGAAGAGACAGAGTCACTGCTGGCAGTGAGCTGAAATGGATTGGAGTCAACCTAATACCAAAAATATCCATATCAACAATTTTTCCTGAATGATTTGTACCATAATTAATTTGTACACTTATTAGCTGTACTATCTATAATTATTATAATATCTGCATATTTATTTCATCATACCGTATTCGTGACTTCTTTTAAATTATATATTTCTGAAATTTCAACAAACATTTTTTTCTCTACATCAAAAAGGCCATCAAATTTGAAACATCACTATTCAACAATCGATAACCTCTATTTTATATACGATCCAATTAGCTGTTCGACAAAATTTTTAGGCAGTTGTAGTTTCCAATGCTTTTTGCCATTCGGGTGTAGTATAAATTAAATTTTCGTTGCAATTCTATTGACAATAAGTAGACAATAGCAAATATAATAAATTTTGAAGTGTAATATTTTCAGATGCGGCCTTTGCCATTAAAATAAACAACACACATTCTGTCAATTCTACAAAAATTTTGCGAAACAGCGAATGTTATACTTACTATTCTGAACAAAATGAGATTGGGGTTGACTCCTGAGCTAAATAAATATGTGCTTTTCCATTAAGGCAATAGATGGCGCAAAATTATTCTAAATCCAAAATGATGTGGAATTCTTCTGTCTCGTATGTTTATGAAAATATGTTTATGTATATCTACATCGATGAAAAATATGTATATGTTATATGTATATTACGTTACGCTTGTATAATCTAGCAGCAGAAATACTAATGCGGAAAAAACTATATATGTAGTATAAAAAATGAGTAGACTATCAACTATACATCCGAAGAGAATAAACATCAATAGTTCTTAAAGGCAGGAATAGTCCATGTAGGGGTTAATATATGTACGTACGACTCTATGCCCAAAAATAATGGCACACGTCAGAGAAACAAAAAATAGCACTGTCAGAGTCAATCACTTCACATTCACTGTCTATTTCAACTGGTTTAGTGTTATCGGACGGCTGCTGTTTTCTTACGTTTTGCTATGCTCTTCGTTCCATCGAAATTCGTGCATTTTTTCGGGTGTCAACTCAAAATTTCGGCAAATTTAAAACGACAAAAATAAATCATTCAAACTAACTAAAATTGCACTTTAAACGGTGATTACAGATCGTCTTTCTCTCCATTCCCAAAAGTTTCATCGCGTTCCGTGTTTTTTATTTGTTTTTTGCACCTGCCCTCAGTCTGAATGGATCCTTGTGTTCATGAAGGCACCTTGTATATATTTTCAGTCCAATCCCAGTCTTACCATTTTAAGTGTGTAAACATTTCGCCAAGAAAAAGTTTGTTACAAAAGTGTTTCAGAGTTTCTTTTTCTTTCATTTTATACACAGGCTTATAAAATCTACTTACTAATTAAATCTTAGTACGAGACGAGCTAAAATCATTCTAAATAAAACTATATTCAATATAATAACATTTCCTAGTTGCCGTCCAACTGTATAATAGTCAGTTAAAAAGAAAGGTTAAATTTAACATTATTTCACAGCCAACTGTCGGTGGTGCCTGACCAATCACCGTCCTCGGTTTGCGAGTACCACCCCTCCCGTTTGCCTCCTCTGAAATCTCACCAGACAAACGTCGGAATATTCACGCCACCACCCATGCCGGGTTATCCGGTTTTTTTTTATCGTTTCCTCTACTATGTCCTTATGTCCACGTCCCAGATTTCCGCAAGGAACGGGGGCAACTTTTTGTTTTTAAGTTTTAGCGTCAGGCACATCTCCGAGTTTTGGTTGCCGAGGGTCCTCAGCTCGGTCAGCACCGACACTAACCTGGCGAACGCCACGTGGGGTCGCGGTTTCCTCCTGTTGTCCACGTAGGCTTTCAACGCTTCCAGGTAGATTTCTTGAATTTTTTCCACTTTCCAACCCTCCTTCAGCAAAGGTCGTTCTGTAATCAACGCATAAAATTATGAAGACGAATATGAATTTTGATGATATAATTACTCAAAATAAATAAGAACTAATAGTTCAGATTTTCACGAAATTATAGGGTGTGGTCGAAACAATTGTCATGTCATAATATATAATTTCGTGAAAATCTGAACTTTTAGTTATTATTTATTTTGATAAATGGATTTTCATCAAGTAAAATCCACCTCGGTTCAATTGATAATTACTATTGGGTTTTCCCATTAAAGCATAGTTAAGGTGGTTGAATATTTTAATAATAATCATAATAATAATAATAGAAGTTCTGTTTTTTTTGCCCGATGGTGAATCTTTCCTGTAGGCGGCAGGATAAAGTGCATAAAACAAAAGAGGATATCGCAAATATTACAAAATAAGAAAAAAAAAACGACGAAACTATGAAGATAGAGTTAAGGAGGATGAATATTTTAATAACAATAATAATAAACACCGTCTCGGATGTGTCGAGGTGTCTTGTTGTACACGTTTACAAAAATATCTTTGCCGAAAATGGATTCAAAATAATATAAGTTTGCATAAGTATGCAAACCAAAGATGATACTGCAGATATGCTATACTATGATGTACGATGAGGTTGAAAATTTTAATAATCAATCATAGTAGAAAAGTTCTGCTTTGTGCCATTTGACGGTGAATGTTTATTTTCTTCTAAGGGTTGCAAAGCTATATTCCCCAAAAGTGGATTCAGGATAATGTGAAACAAAGAGCAGTGAGCAAGCATGCTTCTTGCTAACTACAAAGAATACTGCATATATTGTAAGGGATGGAATTGACAATGTAACTATGAAGGCAATGTGAAGTAGATTGATTATTTTAATAATAATAATATTAGGAAAGTTCTGATTTTGACACCTGATAGTGAATGTGTGTTTTGTTATAAACATTAGCAAAACTGTCTTTCTCGAAAGAGGATTCGATATAATGCGGAAAAAAGAGCAGTGGATGAACATCCTCCAAGAAATATGTGAACAAAAAAGTATGCTGCAGATATTGCAAATGATGGAAAGAACGATGCGACTGTGTCTCCACAGTTAAGAAGGTTGATTATTATTATAATAGTTGTCATAAAAATTCTGGCTTTTCACTGCAGATGGTGCAACAGTCGTTCGCAAAAATATTTATTCCCAAGCACAGTTAAAGTGGTTCAGAATTTTAATAATAATAATAATAGAAAGGTTATGCTTTTTTACACGCGAAAGCGGTAAGGTAATGTGAAAAAAAGAGCTGTGGATAAACATCTCCCGAGCACCTAATGAACAAAAGGGGATGCAAAGAACATTTTAAAAATCGTGATATATATTTCTTACCCGAGAAAATGACAATGGCGGTGAGTAAGGCATATTCGGCATTGTCGACCTTCATTGAGTACATGGTTCTGCAAAAATGCAAGAGATCTTCGATGGTGTCGCCCATGCCCGCGAGGTTATAGCTGTCCCTCGAATACGGTTGGTTGTTGACGAACAAAATGGAATCCGATTGAGAATCGTACCTTCTCGCCATCCTGAACATCATCACCTCGCTCGAACAAGCCTAGCAACGCTTCAGTGTTAAAATATAAAGCGACGAGGAACTAATCGACACGCATTACCTTCAAAAGGGATATTTGATCCTCCCTGATTAGCTTATCGAACCCCGGTAACCGTTTGGCGAATTCAACTATCAGCTGAACCGTTAATATGGTTATCTCGGTTATGTGCCTAAACCTAATTTCACACTGATCTTCGTCGTCCATGGGTTGGTTCTGCAACAAAATTGAGACCCAAATAACAACCAACCCAACCAACGAATAATTTATGTTGTTTTCGTATTGTTCTTTTTTTTTTGCTTACCAATATGAGTTTGACGTCCTCTTCCGACGGATGTTCGTATTCATTTTGAAAGTAAACCAATCGATGTATGAGCTCTTCTTGTTCAGGAGATATCGGCTTCACCCCATTCGACTTTTCACTGTCCGATAACTGAAAAAAAAAAAAGTGGCAAAGTTGAAACGTTGAAACGATCAGGAGAAATTTATTTCTATGTTGATGATTAAATCCAGCAATAGCACACAGTACAGCGGCAATGTAAAAGTAAAAATCGAAAACAGGCAGATGATTTCAAACGTTGTTTACTGCGATCTCAATTTTAAACAAAAACGCCAAAAACTTTCTCAAGTTAAATCAAAAATGATACAATAGAGAAAAATATATTCATTTTCCTTTTTTTTTTTGATATAATCATATAGTGACTATAGATATAGAGGCCCTGCATAATTTCAATAATACAGGAACCTGGGAACTACGCAAAAACTTTGAAGTCCATTGAACATCAAGCTTGTAACCAATGATCTTCAACAATCAACAAAGCCACTGACAGATCGTCAGTAAGTTTGGATGGGGCATTTTTAGGGCAGTATTTTCTCAAAATATACCTAGATCTCGTTGAATGTTGTGGGAAAACAAGTTAAGTTTGTGGAAATCGCTGTAAAATGGCACAAAGTGCAGCTTAGTGCATGAAATGTGGGCGGAAAATAATTCTCTTTTCTACGAAAATGTCAATTATTACCGTAGTAGAACCAACATATTATCTAATGGCTACATGGTATAATCACCACATTTGTGTTGGGGGTACTGTACTCTACGGATTGTCTGTGTAGTGCAGGTCATCATCAACTGCAAACAAATTCGATCCAGCTATGTTTGGTTGGTTGGGAAATTTAAAGTGAGAATGAAAAAATCAATACCAAAAAGATTTACAGATATAACTTCAATATAATTTCAGAAGGTTGAAGGAACCATGCATACAAGAGGCAGTGACGAATACCCTCAACGCAAAAATGAGAAACGGCAAAATTAAGAGCGTCGGTGAACGACTAGATATTATAAGGAAATATGCAATAGAAGTAAAAGCACAACATCTTAAAAAAGACCCCACAAAACGTAAATCATGGATGATTAATGAAAACTAAACAAAGATAACCCTATGGAATGTAAAAGGATCCACACGATTATCGGAAGTAAGATACGAGAAGCCAAGGAAAAAGAAAAAGGAGAACCATGCCAAAAAATAGAATACTACCAATATCGATACAATAACTTCAAAAGAAAAAGATATGGCAGCTGGAAAGAACTATTCCACGACATCAGGCAAGAACTTATCATTGAAATCGATTCAGGACCGGAAATCCTCCCAGACGAAGTGTCTTCAGTCATCCAAAAAATGAAGAAGGGGAAAGTACCAGGTCTAGATGAAGTGCCACCAGAGCTGCTTAGGCTACTTGAGAAGGACCAAATCAAAGCAGTTACAAGAATTTTCAACCCCATTGATTCAACAGGAGTAATACCGGTGGAACGGCTAAAATCTGAATTAATAACTCTCCCAAAGAAGCCCAGCGTGAAGATCTGTGCCGACCACCGTACTATTAGCATGACGAGTCACATCCTGAGGAACAAAGGAAGATATGAATTACTCGAGTGTATCCTTAAGGGAAATTCACAGAAAGAAGAACGCCAGGACGCACACAACTGTTCCGTATTGCAAACAACAAAATTATCATAGCCAGAATGATCGCCAATGTTCGTAGCGGGCAGGCATCTAATATCAAGAATATGTTTAATCCAAAAGTAGAAATAAAGAAAGACAAACTTCTAAACCCGTAAATGAAGATTGGCTGGCTATATATTTGCCTATGTTTTAAAAATCGCTCATCGGTACTGGTTATTGAGGCGAGTCTGTAGCCAGTAGAATAAATGAATCAAAAACCTTGGATTATGCTATGTTTTAGTATAAAATAAATGTATATAAATAAAAAATTTAAACTATTGAAGCATGTCAAAATTTTGTGCCTGTAAACTAAAATCTTTCTCTTTATCTATGATAGTGTAGGTGCTAAGGAAACGAACTGTACTGCTGGAATTCTCGCTTCTACTAAATAAATAGATCCGTAACAGCTAGAGGAGGGAAACTACCGCTCCCATCCCGAGTCGGATATAAATTACAAACCGTTTTGTTATTACCGAATCTCATTAAGATAAACCAACCGTTAATAACGTTCGCATTTTGTAACCCTATCAAAATTACTGGAAACAAATCAAAACTCTCGCCTCGCCATTAGCATAGAGATCGCCTCGCGTTGCCGGTAATTTCGCATCTCAAAATAAAAGTTACGCCAAGATATACGATACGATTAATTTTAAAGGATATTAAGGCCACGGTTCTCACACGGTAGAAGGTAGTACACGCAGGAACTCGGTTAGCAAAGCGCAACGTTTCGACGTTTCGTATTGGACGCAGGTCGAAGACTCTCGGGTAATTGCGTATACCGCGCAACTTAAATTATTCGTTTTTCAAAACCAATAAACTCGTTATTAACGCTGCCTTATGTGCAGAGAACACCTACGGGGTGCTCTCAGATGAGTACATGGTCCTCGGCCATTTTGAGGATTTCTTTTCTTTTCAGGAAATTAGGAGAACTTCAAAGTTTTATTGTATTACACAATGTCTCTAAACATATGGAAAACGACCTATCTATATCGGGTCTGCTGTGGAATAGGAAAAAGTACGTAGATGAAGAAGTACTAATAACGTCAAAATGAAGGAATGGATAAACCTCTTCAGAAATATATATCAAGACGTCGAAGATCGCGGAGAGCTATCGTAGCCAAATCATATCAACAACGAAATATCACAATTAGTAGGTGTACAATCAGCTATAAGGCAGCTTAGAAACCGAAATTCTCCGGGCACCGATAACCTACCAAATGAGTTACTAAAATATTATGGGGGGTGGGGGGGTTTCTGAGTGTTCAAGAAAGGGCAACAAAGAAGCCTAATAGGAGGAATAACTCTATTGTGCTCTCCATTGAAGCTATTTACAAAGATCTTAATGCAAAAGATTACCGATCCACAGTGGACGCCCTATTTATTCTTAGGCAACTAATGGAGAACCTAATAAACCCATGTTTGTCTATTTTGTGGATTTGACTAAGACATTCCATTTCAAAATAACACTGACTCCAGATATATAGGAATATTCAGAGAACTAAATGTTAACAATAAAATTCGGATTAAAACAGAAAACGGCCTCACCCAAGAACTTTTAATAAAGAGGTGACAGCTTAAGCCCTACCTTCTTTATCATCGTGATGGATAAGATAATCAATAATGTGAAACTAATGAATGGCGGCTATCGAACGGGAAATAGCTCTTTGAAGATTCTTTGCTATGCGGACGATGCACTTCTTGTAGCGGAGAATGAAGATGACCTGCAATGACTACTGCATAAGCTCGACAAAACTGCAAATATATATAACATGATCATCTCCACTGAAAAGGAACAAGCTATGGTGATTAACAACTAACCGTTTTGGTGCAAGTTAGTTGTAAACGAAAAGATCATTGAATAGGTCATGACTTTCAAATACATAGGAGATATCTGAGACACGTGATCTGGAAGAAAAAATATATGTTAGCTGAATGTAAAGTCAGGATATCCAAAACGTGTGTGACACCTGTGCTATCATATGCCGCGAAGATAAGAGGTGACACCACAACAACAAAAAGAATGCTCCGAATCGCGGAGATGAGAATATATACTGAGGAATATAAGAAGAGTCACTCTAGAGATCGGATGCGCAGCGAATCCATTAGAACAGAGCTAGAGAAGATATCAAAAGATGGATTAGGTCAAGGAAACGCTATTGGAGACACCATGTGGACAGGAAAAAGCCAGTAGCATTAACAAAATGAGAGCATTCCCCTAGTCAAAGAAGAAGAAGAACATTGTTTTAGACAACTGAAACTTTGCCAAACTTACAATATAGGTAATACGTTTCCACAAGACCATGACAATAGTATCAGGAATATTGTTTGAACTAAACTCATGTTAAACGTAAAAATTGAAGAATGATGGAGCTCTTGATGTGGTGTCTACATTACTCGTACTTTCAAGTTAAAGATAGGTTTTATGGGACAAGTTATTCAGCCGTTCTGGAGCAACGATACTTGGAACAGGCAAACTGCTATGTAAACTAATAGTGAAAATAGGGAGCAACCAAGCAAGCAAAACAGTCAAATTAGGAGCGACTTTAGCAATTGCCTTGTCAAAAATCAGGCCCAAAACATCAACCATGACAGAGAGTGCATTCCTAGAGTACTTTGTGAACGTATTGAGCAGTAGATTGGAGAGGCGAAACGTGTCCCAAAGAACACAAAAAACAAACAAGGAATGTCGAAACACTGTGACCTGGAATAACAGAGCTTGTTTGTTGGAAGCCATATAATAGTCAGATGCTCCCAATGTCCACAAGGAATATCACTGGAAGAAGAGCCTTCTTCATAGTAAATACAAGTAATGTTTTTCTATGTTATGTTGGCTCAGACAGGATTTGGAGCTTGTCAGGTCTTCACTAGGCTGACACTGCTCTGAATTTACCACTAAAGCATTCCTCATTATTGTATCCATAAATTAATAGGTCGATTTTTTAAAATAGTAAAAAAAAAATGCATTTTGAACCAATGCCTTTAAGGGAATTTTAACGAGAGTGCCATCCCCATCATCCGAACGCACCGCGTATAATAAACATAATTACGGTCTTACATCCGGTTCTAGCTTGATGATCTCCGGCGATCCGTTCGTCGTACTGTTCGGTTTGTCTTTCTCCTTCTTTTTGTTTTTCTCACTCCTCTTCACCGCACACTGCACCTCGGGGACGACACATTCGGGCCTCATGCCGACGCTGAGGCACTTCTTCAGGCGACACTCTTGACATTTCCGCCTCATGTACATATCGATCTCGCAATTGTTCCCGTATTTACACTGGTATACCGCGTTTTTCGTAATGCTTCGTCGAAAAAACCCTAAAATGAACAACGCTCTTACTATGACGCCAAGAGTTTCTTTATGAAAGAAAATGCCCCTAAAACTTCCGAGTATCCCAGATTACCCGCCAACTACTATAAAATTCAATAGACTTAAAGGTCACAATGAAATAATTATTAACTAAAATTACTAGAAAACGAACACTGATGACGTCATTGCTCTTATTAATTTGCTGTTTCTGTTTATAAACATTGCATCGTCTGTTTATCAGATAAAAATGACACAAATTTCGTCTAAAACTGAGTTCAAAACACTGATATTTGATTGTCGGTTGTCCAAACATTTCAAAATAATAATGTATAAATTAAGTGTGAACGAAAAAGTAGAAAGACCGAACCAACAAGCATAAAAAAATGTTCAATATTCAAAAATGTGTGGTGTGGTTTAATAGCTTATAGCTTATAATGAAGAAAATTTCGGCGATAGTAGTGAAACAGTTCAAGATTAGAAACAACAAAAAGACCTGACTTATTTGAAATGTCAACAACTTATTGCCACCTTTACGGAACTTATTTTGTGGCTACTTTACGACTTAGGGGCAGCAAAATATAGATATTGAAGCTTTGCACGAAATGTGATCTCGTTTGTTAATATTTCTGAGTTATTACTAAATTCTATAATATAATACGAGGTTAGCACCAAAATTTCCCGGCCTGACATAGATGCAGCTCCAGTATCACGATAAAACTTTGTCTTCTTTTAAATATATATCTTAGTAAGCTGCGAAAAAAAAATGAAATTTTGCGTCAAATAGTTATTTATTGACAGCATTTTAAACAAGACATGTCCGAGAAAATAACGCAAATTTAATATAGAGCAGTCATAAAGTTTTTGACAAAAGAAGGGTTAGCACCTAAAATTATTAAAGAAAGGCTGGATGGTGTGTACGGCCAAAGTTCTCCTTCGTATTCTGTAGTAAAAGAATGGGCAAAACGTTTTCGAATGGGGCAGGAGTCCCTTGAAGAACTGGTCGACCAGTGGAGGTCATAACGGAAGATACTGTTGCGATTGTGGAAGAGGTGGTAGAGTGATCGACGTTTAAAGGTCAAGGAAATCTCAGAAATTACTAAGCTTTCTGATACAAGTGTTCGTCGGATCCTGCATGATCATTGCATAAGGTTAGTGCAAGAAGGGTTACTAAAAACCTTTCGGCTACTCAAAAACAACGCCGTGTCGAATGTGTGCGATTTTTTTTGGAACTCTGTGGGTCGGAACCGAAACCTGTGATAGAAACTATTGTCACGGGAGATGAAACTATGGTTCTCTATTATGACCCTCTATCGAAAAAAGAATCAATGGAGTGGCGTCGTAGGTGTGAAGCACCTCCAAGAAAATTCAGAGTCTGTTAGTCAACAAAAAAGGCGATGTCCACGATCTTTTGGGATTGTGAAGGAATTCTTTTAATAGATTTTAATAAAACTAATACCACTGTCAATGGTAAATATTACGCAACATTATTACATAAATTGCGAGACTGCATACGTGTAAAACGTCGAGGAAAACTGACCGGAGGCGTGCGTCTTTTGCACGATAATGCACCCTGCTGGTGTTGCACAAGCTGCCATTTTAGAGGGCGACTATTATTTGTTTGGATATTTGAAAACGGATTTACGTGGACGGCGGTTTGACGACGAAGTTGAGTTAAAAGAGGCTGTTTTAGCTCATTTTGCAGACAAACCAAAAGAATATTTTTTTAAAGGGATAAGTGTATTGAAGTTATAGGGGGATTATATTGAAAAATAATAAAAAATTGTTACTCTACCTTGTTTCTTTCACATTCAGGCCGGGAAATTTTGGCGTCATCTCATTTTTTTATCATTTAATGATGACGTCATCTAATTTCTTGTGAACAAATGCGGTGCGAAAGGTGCAAAATTGCTACCACGAGTAACAAATTGTTAACAATCGTCACAGCACCTTTTGTTATGACTAGTTACCGATTTTTTTATAACGGCCTGTCTTTTATTGCAAAAGTATCCAGGTAATGTCGAATACATTTCTGCGTTCGCGGCATTTTCACAGCTTTGCAGCTTGCATAACTTCTTATCTACTGCAAAATCACGGTTAACTATTATTGGTGCCTTAGAGATAAACCGTAGACCGTAGACATACGATAATACTTACCTTTACAACCCTCGCACGTAAGAGCATTGTAATGGTACCCCGACGCTCTATCTCCGCAAACGAGACACAGTTCTTCCTGTTGCCGCGGAGTGGGGCCCTTTTTCTTTTTTGCATCGCAACTGTCCGCGCTGTAACCGTTCAAACTACTCGGAGGTGACAGATCCTCTCGTCCTGTAACGAAAAAGAAGGGTCGTCAATTCCGAACGAATTAAAAAAAAAATGGCGCATCATTTGTTATGATTAAATTTAAAATAAGCGAGCGTCCAATGAAACAATCGTTACGAGCGATCCTTTTCGGTACAGAGGTACCATTAATTTTTCAAAGATATCGTACCCGAAGATCTGGAACGATCGATTTTTTTTTCCTTTCTTTTATTTCGAACACGGGATGTAGGCCGATCATCTTAAACTGATGAGTAACGATTAAAGCAATTAGTTTTGGTCGGGTTTCTTTAGAACTCATTTACATATCGGCTTTCGATATCTGCGAACAAGTTTTGCGCAAGCGGCGCATATTTTCGATGCGACGAAATATGATCATTTTAGAAAATATTTAATGCTTTATAGGTTGGTTATAAAAGGAAATAATAATATTATATATTTATTTAGCATAAAAGCTACAAGGACAAACAATAAAATTTTCTATGTAAATTCATTCAAAACATATGACTCATTACAGTATAAATACAAAAAACAATTAATATTTTAAATGCATTTAGGTTATTACATCCTTTAATATTTTTTGTTTACCCAATGAACTCGTACAACTCTTCATTTAAAGTAGTATTTAATGTGAAGACATTAATTTATTTTTAATCTTAAAATAAACATAAAAGCATTTTTACACAATATTTGCCTTTTCGGATTACTCAAATTGATTTTTTTTTGTACCCTCTAAAATTCCACTACAGTTTGTTAAGGTACAGCGAACAATATAGTTGAACAATACTGCCTTCTGGAGACGTCAGCATTTCACGCTTGAACATTTCGATTTCACTTATTTACGATAAAAACAAAAGACCCGGTCCCTATGATCTCCCGCCATATCTTTTTAAGCATTGCAGCTTCATACTTTCTAGACCACTTTACATTATCTTTACCGATCTTCAAAAACGGGAACTTTTCCAACTTACTGGAAATCAAGCTTCATTACCTAAAATCCGACGATAACTCGCAAGTCAACAATTATAGGCCCATCATCCTGAACTGTATTCCTAAAGTGTTCGAAAGTTTAGTCTGCTACTATTTATCTGCTGGCCTGAAAGGTTGCTTTCTCCCCCATCGCTCCACTGAGCTAAACTTGTTTACATTTACAGATGCTGAAATCATTGGAGGAGGGGTCTCACGTTCATGTAATTTACACAGACTTTTCAAAGACATTTAATAGAGTAAAAATCAAGACTTAATTAAACATTGGAATCCAGGAAAAACTTTTGGAATGGTTATCATGCAATTGCAATGGTTACCATAGTACGTACCAGTACACCGAAATTAAAGTGTCTTCTGGTGTTCCTTGCAGTTGTTTTGCTTGGATTGGATTTGCGCTATTTCCTCGTTATGTATATGTCCTATTCTTGATGCTCTACACTCTCTACGTAAAATATGGTATTTGGGTTGATGTGGTAGACGTACACAGTTTTAAAACATCTCCTGCTTGAGATGAGCAAAAGAAATTTTGACCCATTACATAACCCCGAAGGATCTCCAGAAATTGGAGTGAAATTTGAATTTTCCTCTACTGTTCAAGTACAATGCAATGCGAAGAGACCATCGACCTCATGGAAACTGAATCGTAAAGTGCGACACCCAAGAAATTGTCACATTTTGTCTAACTTCCAATCTTTCTTAGAAAATGTAAAAAACCGTCCGTTTTGTTTACTTCACTTGTTGATGATGCGAACCTTCGCGGCCCGCCCACAGGAAATATGAATTCCGCAATTGAAGTGAGATTGATTAAACGTAAAAAGTTACGCCATATTATTTAATAACGCTTAAAGTTAAATATTTTCCAGTCGATTGAACTACTGAACCCAATTCATATTTCAAGATGTCGACTGTAACGTGTGTGCGTGTCCGTCCGTCTCTCTCTTTCCATTTACTTTTTAATTAATAGAAGGAAAGTTGGTCAGTAGGATAAACGAATGTGAACTTTCGTTTTTTATTTATGCCCGAAAACGGTGTCGTGGAAACGTCGAACGGAATTGAGCCCATAAAATGTCAGCAGCGGCACGCGTTTTTCAAGCCTGCATAATATATATGCATATACGAAGATCAAGCGCCGCCATTATTATGTATTCATCTATGTAGATCAATGTAGCGTCGTTTCTTCGAACGGCCACATACCTCGGGCCAGTGCCCGTCCAGGCTAGTGGTGACCCGTGACTGGGATGACCAAGCCCGGACCGATGACCTTGAATTTTTTCCTAAAATCGAGACGGAACTTATTTGTCAAAACAAAACAAGCAAAAACGCCGGGCACATATTAAACGGCATTTTCAACGCGAGGGTGTGGCTTATCTTGACTTGCGTCGAATTTTTAACAATTTTTTCGCTTGTGTTTGTTAGTCGACATTATTAATCGTCATGTTTGGTGACGGGCATTAAATAAATAATAAATTGTAAACTTTCAGCCCTATCTTGGGAACACTCCGTTGCACTTGGAGCTACGATAAAACACAGACTATGGACAAATTTGAGAGAACAGCAATATCAAATATCTTAGATTTGTCGCCGCAAGAAATTCATATGAATATCGCACGAGCACCTTTATACCAGGTAAAAAGAAAGAGATTGGACGCATCTCGGAAGAAACTCAGAAGGATCACTGTGACATTATAGTCCAGACTTGTGAGTTTTCGATAGGTGGTAGATGGGTATTAAAAATGTTGATTCAAGAGTAAAAACGCATTCGACAGCTCACCTCAGAAACCAATTGAATCGTATCAACAGGTAAGGCGATGAAAACTTCCTACCATGATTCGATACCGTGGTAGACCTTTTATTTCGAAACTGCGCGATTGTACCGAAGAAAAAGTGACAAGAAAACTACAGGCGCAGTGTGTACTTTTGTCAGGATCACTGCGCCGTGGTATTTTAATCTCAGCAATTCTTTTCGGCTTTTGTCACTACCGTATATTGCCCAAAATGAAGGGACACTTTGGTGGGAAAAAGTTATTGCCTCGTATGGTAAAGCTATGGGCGTATTTGAGAATCGAGCAATTATGAAATATCTGCAAGTTCGCTGTATGACCCAATATTATTGCTCCCAAGATTATGAGCTAGTTTCAGAAAAGAGATACCTCTGCGAGAGAGGTTTACCCCGGAAGAAATTCATATGGATATGGTACAAGCACCTTCATACCAGGTGAAAAGAAAGAAACTGGAGGCATCTGCGAAGAAACTCAGAACGATCACTGTGACATTATAGTTCAGACTTGTGAGTTTTCGATAGGGGGTAGATGGGTATTAAAAATGTTGATTCAAGAGTAAAAACGCATTCGACAGCTCACCTCAGAAACCAATTGAATCGTATCAACAGGTAAGGCGATGAAAACTTCCTAGCATGATTCGATACCATGGTAGACCTTTTATTTCGAAACTGCGCGATTGTACCGAAGAAAAAGTGACAAGAAAACTACAGGCGCGTTCTTTTGTCAGGATCACTACGCCGTGGTATTTTAATCTCAGCAATTCTTTTCGGCTTTTGTCACTACCGTATATTGCCCAAAATGAACGGACACTTTGGTGGGAAAACGTTATTGCCTCGTATGGTAAAGCTATGGGCGTATTTGAGAATCGAGCAATTATCAAATATCTGCAAGTTTGCTGTATGACCCAATATTATTGCTCCCAAGATTGTGAGCTAGTTTCAGAAAAGAGATACCTCTGCGAGAGAGGTTTACCCCGGAAGAAATTCATATGGATATGGTACAAGTACCTTCATACCAGGTGAAAAGAAAGAAACTGGAGGCATCTGCGAAGAAACTCAGAACGATCACTGTGACATTATAGTTCAGACTTGTGAGTTTTCGATAGGGGGTAGATGGTTATTAAAAATGTTGATTCAAGAGTAAAAACGCATTTGACAGCTCACCTCAGAAACCAATTGAATCGTATCAAGAGGTAAGGCGATGAAAACTTCCTACCATGATTCGATACCGTGGTAGACCTTTTATTTCGAAACTGCGCGATTGTATCGAAGAAAAAGTGACAAGAAAACTAGAGGCGCAGTGTGTACTTTTGTCAGGATCACTGCGCCGTGGTATTTTAATCTCAGCAATTCTTTTCGGCTTTTGTCACTACCGTATATTGCCCAAAATGAAGGGACACTTTGGTGGGAAAACGTTATTGCCTCGTATGGTAAAGTTGAACCAAACAAAGGCTATGGACGTATTTGAGAATCGAGCAATTATCAAATATCTGCAAGTTTGCTGTATGACCCAATATTATTGCTCCCAAGATTATGAGCTAGTTTCAGAAAAGAGATACCTCTGCGAGAGAGGTTTACCCCGGAAGAAATTCATATGGATATGGTACAAGCAACTTCATACCAGGTGAAAAGAAAGAAACTGGAGGCATCTGCGAAGAAACTCAGAACGATCACTGTGACATTATAGTTCAGACTTGTGAGTTTTCGATAGGGGGTAGATGGGTATTAAAAATGTTGATTCAAGAGTAAAAACGCATTCGACAGCTCACCTCAGAAACCAATTAAATCGTATCAACAGGTAAGGCGATGAAAACTTCCTAGCATGATTCGATACCATGGTAGACCTTTTATTTCGAAACTGCGCGATTGTATCGAAGAAAAAGTGACAAGAAAACTAGAGGCGCAGTGTGTACTTTTGTCAGGATCACTACGCCGTGGTATTTTAATCTCAGCAATTCTTTTCGGCTTTTGTCACTACCGTATATTGCCCAAAATGAACGGACACTTTGGTGGGAAAACGTTATTGCCTCGTATGGTAAAGTTGAACCAAACAAAGGCTATGGACGTATTTGAGAATCGAGCAATTATCAAATATCTGCAAGTTTGCTGTATGACCCAATATTATTGCTCTCAAGATTATGAGCTAGTTTCAGAAAAGACATACCTCTGCGAAAGAGGTTTACCCCCGAAAGAAATTCATATGGATATGGTACAAGCACCTTCATACCAGGTGAAAAGAAAG